TAAGGGCGCGCAGCGCAACCCAGCCATTCGGAACAAGAAACAACGAAGGTGGTTTCTAACAGAAAGTGCTGGGGCTGTTTGAAGAGGCAGGCTGCCAGGGCTCGACGGGTATCATCCTACTCCCCAGTCCTCAGCTGGGACATCGGTTCAGGAGAGATGAAAGGAGGAAAGATGAAACGGCACGCCATGAACTTACTTACTGCAACTCTGGTTGCTGCTAGCAAAAGCAAGCAAGCCAAGGAGACACTGGAAGAAAAGATTCCCTCAAGAAGCCCACACCGTATACTCAGAGGCAGTGGTCTGAACCCAGAGCCACACGCTGTAGCCAGCATCTGTGCCTGCGATGAGCTAAACTAGAGCCACAGATGCAGAAGCACTTGCGGTGTTTCCAGGCTCTTGCATTCCCAGATCTGGGCTTCAGAACATGCTCAACAATAAACAGAGATGCTGAGACTGGGATTGTGGTAATTAATGCTTTTGCTCTTTTGATTTCACTATATTCTTAAAAAAAAAATACAAAACGTACAGGAACAAATAAATATATATATTAAAAAATGGCTTGCACACATACTGCTTCTTTCTTCTGACCCTGTCAGAAACTCTGCAGAAAAGAACTTGCAGCACACAATCGCCTGCAACCAGCTTTTTTGAAATATCCTACTGTGATACATATCAACCTTTTGCTTTTTGATTGATAGACTTTGCTAGGGAAACACGGCAGAACAGATGTGAGTGCATGGGTGCCATCAAATGAATTTTAACGCTCTTTCTCCCCCCCCACCCCCTCCCACCCACACGCTTATAAAGTTATTCTGGAAGACATGTGAATCCTAAATTATGGGGGAGGGGAGACTGGGGATTAAGGGACATCTGAGGAAAGTAGTATAAAATTGCACTGAAAGCAAAAATCCTCCCACCATAACCTACCCTTGTCCACCCCTGTGTCAACAAATATGCAACCAATTAATGTAATTGCAGAGTTATTTATGGTGCACAGGAAAGTGTAGTCAGGGACCCTGAGAAACAAGGTTGCGGGGATAGGAACGCCTGGGCTTTCCCCCCTCCCTCCTTTGCAGATGTTTAAGTTGACTTGTGGTGTCCATGTGTCTCATAACCCAGAGCCTGTCGGCTCTGCAGGTGTTGCTTGCTGCATGGGGGTGGGTGAAGTGGATGAAAGGAGACCTGGAAAAGAGTTGGGGTCTTCTGATTTCAAACTGTGACCAAAAGATATTGGCTGTTTTTGAATATTCCCCCCTTTGCAGCCTACAAAAGCCCCGTACTTAATCCCTTCAGATGACCCTTTCCGACAGCACCAACAACATTTGAATACAAAAGGGGAGAAAAAAAAATCTTAACTCCATGATTTGATTGTTCGGGGTGACAGTTTTGTTACCGTTCAGTGCCCTGCACAAGAGAGGTTTTAATTAGAGCTATTGAGTGGTTTGAATTGGCACAATTAGGGTCAGCATTAATGATTGCTGCATGTGTTCTTTTGAACAGTAAGGGCTTTTTTTTTTTTTGCCCACAGACAGGAGGGGGTAGCAGCTAATGAACTAGGAGAGTGCAAATTATCTCTGCAAAGCTGGGGCAAGTGTAATACACACTGGGGATGGAGCAGAGCAGGAGAAAAGAGCACATCTTGTGGGGCTGAGCCAGAGGGCTTCCCAGCAGTGTGCTGAGCACCATCCGTCCCCACTGCTTGCCATTTGCTTCCACAGGTACTGAGTACCGCACGGAGCACTGACAGAGATCTGCTCCTTGCATCGCAAGGGAAGGCTTCAGAGAGTCCAAACACAGGGACTGGAAGGAGGCAGGAGAAAGATGCAGCCTGCTGAAAACCAGAGACCTGCTCGTGCAAATCAGTGCTCCCATGAGTAGGCTCTACCCACCTGCCATGCACTTCAGTGGGCTTGCAGGATCAGTTCAAAGGAATACAGCCACATAAGATATGTATTTGTGTATAAGCACCCCTCCCATACAGGGGTGGAAATGCCTCCCAAAAAAAGCAGGCCTGCCATGACTGCGCTGAAGGTGGATGCAGGAGGCACACGTGTATGGCAGCTCTACCAAAGGCTGCCCCCTCCCCTGCTGAGGAATCAGGAGTCCTCACAGCACCTGCAGCTTGACTTAGGGACCACTTCCCATGGCCTCCTTGGGGCTTGAACCTCTCCTAAAATGTGCCTGAGCCACGTAGTCCAAGAAGGTGTGTAGAAAACCTCCTGGGCACTCCAGCAGACTCAGAGGCCTCCCTTCCACTTAGTTTGTGTGAGAACACAGCAAGTGGTGGTGACACCAACCCCATATCACTTGTAGGGGCGACTGTGGGCCTGGCTCAGGTCTGGCTGCATCACCCCAGTCAGATGCTGGTCTGCTTTGGTCTGGCCCCTAAATACCTGCGTAGCTCAACAAGTCCTCTTCAAAATGTCATCTCTACTTGCACGCCTCCTGAACATGGCCCAAAGATGGAGACTGTCAGGCACCATGCATCAGAAACAAAGATATTTCAATAAGCTAAGCTAGCTGGCAGAGCAGAAAAAATAGCACGTACATACATAGTGCTTCAGGACCGGCTCTCATGCATTTTTCACAAAACATTTCCAGCCAAATTTCCTGCAGCCATCCCAGAGCGTGGCCACCAACACCTAACCACCCAAGTTTTTGAGGCCAAGCATTCGTGCCAGCCAAGGCTACACACCCCAGCAGTACCTGTGCTTGCAGAGCAGGTAAAGCTTTGTGCACCACTGGAATGGAGAAGCTTGGTAAAACCCTGGGTGTGCAATCTCAGTTGGGAACTAGCCAAATACTTCACCGCTCATCTATGCAAAAGGAGACAAGGGTGCCCAAAATATGGAGGGAATAGGGCTCTTTGGTGTGGTTAAACAGAGGTTACTCTGTATTGCCGTTTGTAGGTGTTTTCAGGTATTTCAGTGCCTCCCTCACTCTCTAAAAATAATAAGCTTCTATTAAAAAATCCCACTTCTCTGGCTTTTTCTTCTTTTTTAAAGTAAATTACATTATTCTTATTTAATGATGTGCTCATAATCTCTAGGCCTAAACCAGCTGAAATTTAGACTGCAACTAACTTGGTGATGCTTTGCAATCTGTAGCCAATGAATGGATAAGAATCCAGTGGGCACTCGCAGCTAGGAGATAGCCTTACGTTGTTCCCCTGGTAGAAACCAGTAGCCTGAAGTAGGCTGCCTCACCTCGGCTGTGGGCTACCTACTCATTTGTCACATCTGTGGCTTTACAACAAGCTCTTTCCTTTATTACCTTTGTGTGTGTGTGGTGCTAATACCCAAGACGCATGAGGGCCAACCCTGCAGAGGCTCTGCCCTCCCTCCACCCCAGCGGGATGCGGGTGTCCCAGCCTCCAGGACGGGAAGTGCTCAGCAGCATCAGGCAGAGGGCTGCTGCTGCCAGCAGGAGCTGGAGCTCAGCAGGTGGACTGCAGGAGGGCGAGAGCAGAGCTGCAGGCACCGCTCAACCACTCATCTGGGACAGGGCTCCGTCCCCAGGCCCTCTCAGGAGCCAGCAGCATGGCTTCAGGTGGCTTCATCTCAGCAGGAACCCCTGAGTGGAGAAGACATTCCCTGACCAGGAGGAGCTGGCTCCACTGAGGTGCAGCAGCAAAGCAGAACTGGAGCACCCAGGGAAGGGCAGAGACACAAGGAATGTCTCACCAGCGCTCAGCCCCTGTGCCACTGGCTGCTTTTACCTCCTCTCCCCCAGGTCCATCTCATAAGGACTTCAACTGTTCCCATGTCCAGCTTTTGGTTTGGGCAGGCATCCAGCATCGCTAGGCAGATCCAAAACGACACCTCACACATTCTTGAAGGTGTGAAAGAAACAACCAAGCTGAATAGTTTCTCCACCCTCGGGGTGCCAGAGGTAATCCCATAGACTTGCCAAGGAACAAGCAAGGACATCCACAAACATTTCACGACCACCTTCTTTGAGTCTACTTTGGTATTAAGCAGCTATGGGCTTTGGCATTAGCTGGAAAGCCGAACACACAACTGCTCAGAAGTCACCTCTGCCTTGAGTTTCTTACATATATCCCCAAAAAGTCAGCCCCTCAGAGACTTTTCAGTGAAGATTTGGATTTACATCATCACATAAGTGTATTAATAGTCCTCATGTAGGTCTATTACAAGCAAATAAAAATGCTGCAGTTTGGAGGATGGGGACGGTGATAGCAATGCAGGCAAAGCTGTCATCTGGGCTCTGGTGTGAGGTTAAGCGACCTGAGAAGGATGTGGGAGCTGACGGGCGTGAGAGAGGGGATGTGAGACATGGAAAGCTGAGCGTGAGAGGGAATATTGTGAGAAGCTGGCAAAAACTGCAGATAGCACCATGAGGGCTGGCTGGATTTCTCAGGTGGTTAAGGGGGACGCATGTGAGAAGCGGCCAAACCACACAGATAGCTGGGGGAGAACACCAAGGACATGCTGGGAAATAGGACCTTGCCGGGCTAGTGAGCCTGGTACCCGTGCTGGTAATAACACACACAGCCGAGATAATCTAGCTACCAGAAACAGAAATACCAAATTCAGCAGTGAATATGGCAAAACTGTGGTGGTCTACTGAGGAAAAGGACAGGTTAGCTCTTTGGATCCAGTCTGGGGCAAACAAAGGGAACTGCAACCTCAGCAAAAAGAGGGGTCAAGAAACACAGAAATGGATAATAAGGTGTGCAGTTCCTGTCACTGAGGGCATCTGGGGACACTTGTCAAGCAGCCCTGTATGCAGCTGGAGTCAGGCAATGAACCAAAACCTTTGTTCTGGCCATATCAGAGGAGTCAAACCTGCTTCCAACCCAGGCAGAAGACAGGTTTTGGCAGTGCAGGATGGGTGCTTTCGTTTGCTGGCAGGTAAACCCCTGGACAGACAGATTGAGCACCCCAACATCACCACATTGGTGCCTATTCCAGGCCCAACATCATTTGCAACTGCCCACCACTTGGTAACAGATAGGAAGATAGGGTTTAAAGGCTTTGTTTGTTTTGGTTAGTTGGTTTTATTTTGGTTTTCAGTTAACACAGATAAACTTGGGACAAAAGAAAGTACCTCACCTACCCCCACGCTCATGGCCTACACCCAAGAAGTGTCTTCCAGGAGGACAATTTTGACTGAGAAATCAGTACTGCCTCTCCTCTACCTCGGTGTGGGCGCTGATTAGGAAAGGCTAAATACCCAACAAGCCTGTTGCTGAAGTGATACTTAGCAGTTCTGTAAGCACTCCCAGAAGAAGCTGTAAATGCAGACTTGAAAACTGTCAGGAAAAGCAAATTACTCAGAATTTACGTAATCTGAGCTCTGGCTGGAAGTTTGATAGAGTTATTTTACTTGATTTAGTCAATCCATTTCTAACTTGAAGAAATATGTTGACTTGAAGCTCCACAGCATTTCATTCACTCGGATCACCTATAAGCCAGCAGAGAGACTGCTTTTCATAACTGCTCCATATTGGTTTGTGTCATACCACCACATTGCTGTGCTGCAGCCAGACCAGCACAACTTGCGAGCAGACCAGCTGAGCTGTGGTGATTAATGACCCCCGGAGACTAAGCTGCAAGGCATCTCTCCTTTACCGAGTACTGAGCAGTGAGTTTCACCTCCATATCCCCAGGTCTCCTTCCCCTGGCATGTCTAGAATTTGTCCTAGCTTAGACCTTGTGTGGGGAAGCCAGTAGCCCTCAGCAACCAAAAATTCAACTCTTCTTTCCTAGGAGAGGCTGCTGTCTGTCACTCTTGTGTCCTAGCCCTCTGCTGTAACCTCTTCCAAAGGCAGCTTTTCCTCCAGCCTTGCTACAGGGAAAATAAGTTACCCCGAGTCTGCATCTCAGAGCACTTTGGAGATCTCCGGTGTTGCCAAGGCACTGGCAGGGGGCTGAAAGAAGCCAAGTGTTTTGCTGAATGCTCTCTTGCAGAACAGAAGCATGAGCAAAGCTGGACTCAGCAGATGTGATAACCAATACCCACTACAGCAGTGGGTATGAGAGCTGGCAGGAACAAAGGCACACACCTGTGTGACTTCTAAACTTCCCAGAGCCCCTCCTTGCACTGATTTCCCACCAAGCCTGAAAATGCCTTCACTTACTGGAGAAACTTCAAGAAAGAGGGGTTTGTCAACAAAGCAGCATATTCCATATGCAGAAGAGGGATTTGTCAGCAAAGCAGCGTATTTCATATGCAATATCAGTTTAGAGCGATGTTTTAAATCTGGTTGAAATGAGGATTCTGTAAAACAAACAAACAAACACATCCACAATTGAGCTAGAGCTATGGCTGTATGTTTAAAACAACTGATTGCAGAGTCACATCTTCACCTTCTTCAGCTGTCCCATTTGCACTGCCTGCACATTATTTACCTCCTCTCATCCCCAAGCCTTCCACCCTTGAACTAAAGAAACTTTACATAGTTTTCCTTGGTAGTATTGCAGCTAGTGTCTGCACTGCCACGACATGGTGGCCCCAAGGAAAGCTTCCCACAGGGAGTTACAGCAGGGGCATGGACAGGGAACATGGAATCTGAAACAATAGCTAACGACAGTGCAAGTGGAGATCCAGTGATCCAACCAGAAGGTACAATCAAAAACAATCGTTGGGTCTTCTGAGCAAGTGTTACAGCCTTTCTGAGAAGTCAGCCTTTGTTGGTTTACCTGTTAAGGCCCAGCCAGCTGGTACTGTAGGATAAGGATGGCCTGCCTGGAGACAGTCCTTCATGGCCTGCAGAGCCCCTAGGTCATCTGGCAAAAGCATCTTCTTGGGTCCTGCAGCCCTCTCCCAGTGGGAAAGCTACCAGCTCTCTAGCTGGTGATATTTCAAGCACATGACCAAAATAATACTCCATGCAAATAAAAAAATCACGTCCACCTTGGTAAGAACAGCCATTAAAGAATTATTTCATTTCTGATGGTTTTTAGAAGAACTAACAGAGAGTTCATAGGAAGAAATGTCTTTCAGCACGAGCTCTCCTGAGTGCTGCTGTGCTCCAAGAGAGCAGATGTCTTGATGCCAAGATGCTGGGGAAAGAAAAAGCAGTAGCACTGACTGTCATTTCTGAAAACAGCCATCAGGTCACAATGCAGTGACTGCCAGTAGACCCTGCTGAGGAATCAAGGTGACATACCCTCTTGGAGTCACCCTGCTCCCCCGGAGAACTGAGATGAATGGTTTCAGCCAGGTACCCAGTTTTTGGGCAGCTTGTTGGGCAGGGAGGACCCCCATTTCAAAAGCTGAAGGACTGGACACCCCCCCTGGACATACACTAAATAAACTGTGTCATTATTTCTTGCTTTTTATGAATCTCGATATCACTGGGCTTCACAGCAAACAGGTTTTATCCACATGTCGATGACTTAACTGAGCACAGGAGCGCTGCCAGGTCACACCGGTAGTTATGGAATACCTTTCCCATGTGACCATTGCTGTAATTTACCGGAAAGATCATCCCCAATCACCACAATCTGAACCAAAGGCAAAATCTTTCAGTGCCTGAGCAAAGTAGTTTCCTGCACAGCCTCAGCCCCCAGCCTGAAGGCAGCGACAGCCACCATCAGAGTTCATACAAATGGATGCCTGACTTGAACACCACATCTATGTAGGCTGCTGAGAGAAAAAAAAAAAAAAGTAGCTAATTTTCAACAGTAATTAATTTTAAACTGAGGTTTCTACTCAGTATCTCTTCATGGGTTTTGCTCTGGCACTTCACGCCCTCTCCTCACCACCTCCTCCATCTCTCCAAGCCAGAACAGCCCAGCGAGGGGCTGGCCCACCGCAGCCCTGCATCACGGCCAGCCCTGCCCCTTGCTGAGCTCTGCGAGCCAGCAGAGCCCAGCCTCACCTCCGCATCCCCAGGTGTGTTTGTGGTTAGCATAACTTTTACGATTGTGATGACGCAAGGCCTGAGCCTGCAGGCTAGGCGGTCCAGGCAGCGCCAAGCCAGGAATCCCAGCTGTGCAGCACCTTGCTGCGCTGCCCCAGCCAAGGGTGGGCAGAAAAAGGGCTCCCAGCAAGGCAGAAAGGGAGCAGCAGAGCCCAGCAAGGGTGCTGGTACTCACAGCAGCCCTCATCAAGTGCTGTCCTTCCTCTTGCATCACTCTAAAAAAAAAAAAAAATCCTAACCTCATCTGCTCTCTGCACTTAAATCTGACATTTGGATGCAGAGGGCCAGGCTGGCACAGGAAACATAATTTAAGAGTGTCTAGCCTCATGCTTGGTAAATTGGGCCCATTATCCAACCCCCTGTCTGTATGTATCACCTTACATATAGGGTACGTATTGATGAGGGGGGATTTTTGCATGCTGAATAACATCCATATGTTACCCAGGAGATATTTCCTGTTCTTGGTGCTGCCGTGTCATTAATTTTCCTGCTTGTTTTGACTGTTTATCTCTCGAGCTGAAGTGTCTAGAACTGTGAAAGCCCCCGCCAAGAAGAAGTCAGTAATATAAACATCATCAATATTTATGATGGACACAGAGAAAAATATTCCACGATGCAATGCCTTGTTTTCCACCCAGCTCAGGCAGGGCTAGGATGCCTCAGAATCCTCTTCTGCTTCGCCTGTCTCCCATTTTTCCCCCAAGCAGCCCGGTCATCTCACAGCACCGAGGATTTTCTGTCCCTTTAACAATCCCCTCGCCTGCCAGACTTCCTCCTTTCATAGCCCCCAGGCGCTCCCCCTTCTCTCCCCCAGGGCTAGTTAATATGTGCCAAATCCTGACACCCTGAATGGTTTCCCAACGCCGACACTAATCACATTTTCGGGAGCAGGTCAGCAGTGAAGGAGCTGAAATTCGTGTGAAAAAGTCCCCGGGATGGCCCCGGTGCCTCACACCTGCGTGCCCTATTCATCCGCACTGTTTACACATTGTCATCCACAATTAATTCTTTCCAGGGACGCTCCACCGCCTGCCCTCCCGTTGCACAGGGACCCCATTCGGAGCTGTTGTGTCTGTTAAATTGAGCATGGGGTGCTGTGATTAAATTAAGTTTTGTGGCTCTCTCGCTCTCCCTCCCTCCCCTTCTCCTTTCTCTCCGTTAATAACGATGCCTGATAGAAGATTGCTGGCACTGGAGTAAAGAGGTAATTACAGGCACTAAAAGTAGGGGAAGAAAAGTTTATATTTGGGAATGTGAATGGGGACGTCTTTTCCAACGCTGCCCTCGGTGCGAGGTGGGAACAGCAGCCCCGTGCAACATCCAGGGTAGGAGGAGGAGGGTATGGGGCTGCATGTGAAGGTCTGCCATAGGCAGAACAAAACTCAGGTCTGAGAGAGCCTCTACCTCCTGGCCTGAAAATGGGGTTTCTTCAGCAAGTGCCATTCCCACCTTCTGCTGCAGTACAGGAGCGTTTGTCCTGCACAGCTGTGTTAGTGCATCTATGGGGCATGCAGCAGGAAAACTGCTCTTCTCCCAAGACACCATACCCAAACACACCAGGACAAATCCCTGGAGCTAGAGGGCTACCAAATCCTGTCCCCATACTGACATTCATCTGCGCCATGAACAAAACATGGAACGAGAAAGGCTCCTGGGAGACGAGCAGGAGAAAAACAAGAGACGAGACAGGAATTTGACCAGCTTTTACACTCTACAAGTTTGCAAAAACACCCATGAGGCAGCAACATTTCATGAAGTGGACAACTGTTTTTTATTACTGGTATGTCTGCGAAATCAAAGAGCCATTTTTTGCTCAGAACAGGAACGTGCAGAAACTCCAAGCAAGCCGAGCCGGGTGGATTTGGCTTTCCGCCTTAGTTCAGCCACTCGCAGGACTTGCTACCACAGTTCGGCTGCAGCCCTCTGGCACAGCACACTAAATGTCACGACGGCAAGAAGAACAGGCCCCAGACCCTCCTAGCCAGATGAAGAGCAGCCTCTATTTGCTTTTTGAACACTAGCTCACTTCAGACAAAAAAAAAAAAAAAAAAAAAAAGACCTGAGAATTGCCCTAAGTTCTGAGGCCCCAATATCCAAGACATATTAAACATCACAAAATTCATTGGCTACAAACAGTCTCTTAAGGCTTGGAAAACAGCAGCCTCTCTGATTTTTATCCTATGCAAGAAAATTGCCCCTGCAAGAGAAAAATCTTCATGTCAGCAATTAAAAAAACAGCCGCCTCATAAATATTGCTGTAAAATATTGTTGCATGCCCATACGAAACGTGCTGGAAAGCACATGCTACATCCCCCTCTAGTGCTGAACCACTACAGAATAGCAACCTAGCACTGCTGCTGTTTTCTTCAGCAGAATTGGAGACTTTTCTGCAGCAACCTATGATTAGGCCCTGTAAATGAAGCAGGAAGGTGGCTGCCACATGTGAAGGCATTTTTACTGGATGCTATCTGCTGTATGGCAGATAGATTCACAGGGACTGAGAAGCCTGAGAGCCCTTGAGATCAGTAGGGTTTAAATAACTTGTAAATACCCAGGACAAATCTGTTTTGTTTTGCAAGTTCCCTTACTCATTCTGCACTTCCACTGAAAAACTAGCGAGCCGTACACATCACACACCTGATCAAGGCCCATCCCACAGCACCCAAGGCCTTTTGTGCTCTGTATGGAGCAGTACCAGAGGAAAGCATCTCCTCCATAAGCACCAGTTATACCTAACACCCTCCTCATCATCCTCTCTCACAGACCTTACTGAGGGAAGCAGCCCCTCTGAGTTAGATGGGGAAGACCAATTTCAGTGGGTGCCTGCACCCTATTACACCAGCCTGTCTCACTGCCTGCACCTACCAGGACAGACAAACTCAACACCGAGGTCACACCAGACATATGGGTGCCCAGAGCACCTGGCAGCTTGCACCAAAGCCTGTTTCTCAAGCACATAGGGAATTGCTTTGGCATCCCAAATTTTCCTACACTTTGTGAAGCACAGCTCTCTAAGGGGTTGGTTTGCACCTACCTTGCAGTCTGCTTGGGGATGGTCTCAGCTCATTAGCACATGAGGGAGGAAGCAGGGCAAGGGCCAAACATCAGGGACCCAGGTAGGTGAAATCTGCCAAAACAGAGAACAGCTAAACACAGGTCTTTATAGTGGAGGCACTTGAGCAACATTAGTGGCAGGTGGGAACAGCCCTGCCTATGAAAATTTAAAGGGAAGGCTCATATTTAAGTTGTTTTCCTGCAGTAGAACTACTAGAGATATTACTAATATAGTTATGACAAATCCTGCAAGCTGCCTACCACCCTTTCCTCCCACCGAAACCAGCGAGAGTGGAGGATGCCCAGCAAATTACACCACTTGCCCAGTTAATAAACAATTTACCGAAGGATGCACGGTTTTGAAGTGCTGTGTAAACACATATTAATCAATCATTAGACAATTAAGATAATTCCCTGCTCTTTTTCCCCGGCACTCCCCAGTTGATAGATGTTCCTATAGCAACCCAGCGGTACGGGGAATGCAGGGCTCGGCCAGGCGATGCTAGCGGAGGACCTTTGCTCTCCAGCCCTCCAAAAGTCACGCAGGGCAAGCAGAAGGGGGCTGCGAGAGGTGACATGCAGGAAGGAGGCTTTCAATTTTAATGGAGATTCTTGCGATGACAGTCTATGCAAATAGGTACATGAAAGAGGAGAGGAAACAGGCTGGGGGAAGGGGGGGAGAAATTAACCCTGGTTCGGATTTCAAAGCAAGCCGGGAATAATTTTTGTAGCTAAGAATAGTTGCAATCCACCTTGTTCGCCTTGGTCTCGGCCCTGCATAATCCTGACGTTCAGGGTCTGAAATTACAGCTGGGGGAGGGAGGCCAGGGCTGGCAGCCCAGGAAGCGCTGCCGCTGCCCAGGCCTCGCCGCCATCACCTTTATGGTTCCTTTGTGTCACCAAAGCCAGCCCTGAACAAAGAAGCAGGCCCTCCGCTTTCGAAGGGCCCTTGCAGTTGTTTTGCAAATGAGATTGCTTGATTGGAGAGCAAAATCAGAGATCTTTTGAAGCTGCTGCTCAGGAAAGGGGGAGGAGGGGCCCAGTCCTGCACAGCAAGCTGTAGGATCTGCCCCGTCGAGAATGAACCAGAGCAGCTTTTAGGCGAAATTCTTCAGGAACACCAGCAAGACCCGATGGCCATCTCCAGAAAAGAAGAGGGTCTGCTAACATCCCGAGAGCAACTTCTGCTCTTATTTCAGCCCTCTCACCCTCGCTCCCCCTTGGGGCCAGCCAAGCCAGAGGCTGCCTGGGCCTCAGTCAGCGCCTGGAGCGGGGCTCCTCAGCTTGTCCTGGCTTGGAGGGCTGCTCCATCCCCACAACAAGGACTAAGTCCAGGGGACCAGCCTGCAGCCCTCTGGGGAGCCGATTGATGTAGATCTTGTCAACACCTATACAGGCGCTCACTGGGAGACTTCCTCCTTTTTTGATCAGAAAATGGCTTCTGCACAATTAAAAAACGCCGGTGGGAAGATGGGGACGCTGCTGGAATGAGATCGTGTTTTGCCAGGGGTGAACTGTCAGAGGTGAACTGCCCCCCAATTTTTCATTCTGGTTCAGTTCGACATCAAAATGCACTTTCCCGAAAAGGCCTCTGTTCTTTCCTGTGCATGGGGCCTTGTGGCTGAGCTACATTTACTGAGAACAACGTGGACCTTGCCCAAGCTTTATGGGAGCTGGGCAAAGCTCCCAGGGAGCACAGCCCAGAGGAGAGAATGGGACCCAAACCCAAGGAAGCGGACTGCCTACTTTAATGTTAAGCAGACTTGAAACGAAACGTTTCATGTCAGTTCAACAAATTGAAACAAAACATTCCTACCTCAGAAACGTCAAAACGCTTCACTTTGATCCAAAAAATGTCAAAACAGAACATGTAGACATTTCTGAACATGACTGTTTTAATTCCAGGAAACAATTTTTTCCTATTTTTTTGCCCCAGTTTGTTCTGTTCTGGAAAACAGAAGCAGAAACTCAAAATTTCACATAGTTCTCCTTAGAGCTGTTTATCACAGGAGGGACTAGCACTCCCTATACATGTATGTGTGCCTGAGCACTCTCACAGTGGGTATATCTGCTGTCCCTCTTCCAGGCTGGTTTCACCCCGCATAGAGATGCCAGACTGGCAGCCCCATGGCCAGAGGACACCCTTCAGCCTGCAGGACATCCCAAGCACCTGAGCACACCCAGTGCAAGTGTGCTGTCACATACAGGAGGCAGCTGTCCACAGGGTAGCCTAAAAGAGTGCCCTACTAAAAAAAGTGCTTGCTGAAAAAGAAGGATGTAGGAATTTGACAAACCACTTTAGTGCATTTTGATCAGTGAACTTAATTTATATTGCTGAGGATTATGGATCCTGTCCCCAGTGTGATGAACAGCACACTAATATGCAGAAAGGTGACCCATTCTGAATCAGGCACTGCATGCCCCAGATGGACCCACAAGTCTCTTTTTGCCTGTATAATCCTACCACCATACCTAGTACCAGTTTGACTGCCTCGTGTAGCCATGACTTACAGTATTGTTGCCTTCCAGCTGAAGGCTGCAAACACAGCTGTGTGTGTCACCAACCCCTTGAAGAAAAGTGCTCCTCTTCTGCAAAAGCCAAACCAGGGAGTAAAGTCTTCCCCTGTGCTCCTCCATCAAAACCTTCTAGCTGTTCTGTGTTTCCCATACACTTGACATAAACCCCTTTTTCCCAAAAGCCAGACATCTTCCTGAATCATTGTTTTGCCAGTCTTTCAGTGCTGATTCCCTCTCCATTATATATCCCCAGACAGGGTCTTGCTTCTACAGGGTGAGGTGTCTGCGCATGGGTACACAACGGCTCTCTTGCACTGGTGGGATAGTTCACATGGCCACATTCTAGTCACATCCATCCTACCCCACTGGATCAGGCTGGCCAGGACCTCCCCAGGGGTGATCCACAGTCCTCTTCTGCCAGACTCTCGGTATTTGTTGCCCAGGTTCCCCAACTACAAACCAGTCTTTGCTTGGTGCCTTCACCTTGGCAAACCTATCTATATCCTGGTCTCTTCCTTACGGGGGGGGAAATATTCTTTTAAATATTTCCCAGTGGCCACTACTGCAAAAGCAGCAACTGTCATCGTCCTGGACATACGCTGTTGTACCAGGAGATTTATTTCTCTCATTTTGTATAAATAACTCCTAATAATTCATTCTGCTAATTCCCTGCCTCTGCCCAACTTTTCCAAACTCATTCACCCTTTAAGGATGTAAAAATAAACTGCAGGAACAATTCATATTGCATCTACGGCTAAACAAACTCTCTTGGGTTCCACTGTTACCCAAATAGTACCCTCCAGACTCATTCCCTGTGGGTTGGCAGTAGATCAGCACTTGCAGGCTCTCTCAGAGGTTTGGATCTGATGCAAAATCCATCTTCTCACTGAGTCCTTGCAGTGTCTTCATGAGGCTCCTGCAACAGCCTAAAAGAACATCCAGAAGGCCTTATCCATCACCGGGCTGTCCTGGGCTCCACGAGGAGAGTGGATCTGAGATGGGCTGGCTTCCAGGTGATGATTGCTCCCACCTCCCAGTAACAGCTTGCAGCAGTCTTGCCAATTGCTGGGATATGTCCCTAAATATAGGAAGGTTTGGGGCTTTAAAATGTTATGTAGATGATTACAAGATCTTCCTTTTAGGGATAAAAGTGCAGTGACATTTCGTGGAAGCAGTATATCACCTTTGAGAACAAAAGCATGCATTGTTTAAAAATAAAGAATAACCACAGAAACAGAGGAAATCAGTACGTAGGTTATGTTCCAAAAGTCTCTCCAGTGAAGCTTCAGATGTGCACTGTTGCCATCATTCTCCTTGAAGATTATTTCAAGGCTGTACTAATATGTGGATCATGAGTGTGGCTGTTACCATGGGCACATATCTAATCAAATGGATCCTAATTATGTATATTACCCAATTTGGCACGTTGAGAGTGCTTCAGTGATGATTCTTCTGCTTGTCTGACAAATAACATGATTATTCAGTAAGCTGCATATGTTTTAATGTTGTATTTTTGTTCTTTGATAAGAAACTGTCTAACTAACCAAAAGTGCTTTTCACTTACAAAGGCATAGCTAATATTAGCAACCAGATTCAATTCATTATGTTTAATAAGCTAATAAATATATTTAAGACTTCTTGTGCTATGCTCAGTCACCTTCAGAAAACACTTTATCATTAGTCATTAGCAATGAAATGGTCTCTTCTTTTCAAGGATGAGAGCACTTTTAAAACTTCAGTTTAAGATTATAAATTGCAATGCAACTCACTTTAAAAATAGATTTTAAAATTGATGTTTGTCTTTAGCCTTAAGATGGAAAACAGATTCTTTATATAAGTCTTGGATTTATGGAAGAAGCAAGGAATTTTTCAGGAACATGTCAAAGAGAAGTTAGTGTCCATTACCTTCACAATATGAAAAAAAATGTAAAAGACTGCTGTTTCTCCCACATTACCACAACGCTCCCTGGCACAAGCAGAAAACACAGCTTTTCCTGTGACACCCACTGAAGGATGGAGTTGCTGGCAGAACAGTGGGACAGGTAATGATGGAGGCTGTAGAGCTCAGCCATGCTTTAAATCATCTGAGACAACAAGCTGGGAGACCAGGTGGGAGCCTGTCAAACTTGTGTCAGCAGGAGTCGAGCTTTTTGGGACATGAGCTGCATACGGCATCTCACTTTCCATCTCTGTCTTTCTGCCAAATCTTTACTCACATAATTTGCTTCTAAATATATTTGGAGAAAGGACAGAGAAAGGTTCCCCTGGAGTTTCCATCCCCATCATGCCCACACAGCCACCAGAAGGCCATGCAGTGCTCAGGTTTTAGCAGCTCTTCCTTCCCCTTTTCTGTACACTGAAAGGATAATGCAAGGAGAAAGGGAGCTTGTAAATCATCTCAGGTGACGAGAAAAATGCCATCTTCTCTTCTTGTCTTCCTATGACACCTGAAGTCTGAAAGAGACAAATCTGTGAAGTGTGGAGTTCAAATGGTGGGCATAGGAATGAAGCTAACTTGAGCTGCAAGGGGACTGGAATAACTGAACAGGAAACCACCCAAACTGTGAAGCTTCTAGTTAAAACTAACAATAGAAAATCGTCATCTGTCAGAGATGATGACAAGTGGATAAGATCATAGAAAGAAGACTGAGGATGTAGCCATATGATGCCCAGATAAGAAAGCATAAATATAGCAGCAGGTTGGCTTTGGGCAAATTCTTTTGAAAACCCTGAAGAAAACCCACTGGTGAACCTGGCTGCTGGCCAGAGAAAAGAAGAGGATCCTCTACCCTTGACAACCTAGTGTGGGTGCGTGAAAGAGGTGAAGAAACCCCCCAGTCAGTGCCAGTTGCCCACTGGTGTCAGCATGGGTACCCAGATCCAGTCACCAGATGGGTGGCCCAGGAGGGCAGGACTTAACCTGGTGTGGCTGTGGTGGGTTGAGAGGTGGGTCAATGAGCTCCAGCGGGTCAATTCGCATGCGAACAAGCCAGTATAATTTGAGTTTGTGTAGCTGTTGCTGTAACACTTAGTTTAAATGCTGTTTGTGTATAATTGAAGCATTAGTAATAAAATACACAGTAGAAGCTGGAATATTGGTTTACATGGTAAAGGATGGAGTCGTAACATTCAATATTACCCATGCTGGTTGCCATCCAATTCAGCTAGCAGTCTCTGTGCTAATAAATATTTAAGTTCCCAGCTTCACTTGCTCTGTGACACCAGACACCAGGAGACTAAGTAAGTCCTCCCCTCCCTCCCCCAGCCCCCACATCATTAAAAATAATTAAACTCTTCTCCTGTGGTGTCCAGGTGTCAGAAGACACCTGGTAAGTCTCACCTCTAACCACCCGTGGATGCAAGGATGGCAGCACCGCAGCTCCTGCCGGTGGGGCAGCCTGGCCTGGCTGAGCTCCCCAGGGCACAGCAGGGAGCCGCAAGTTAATCAGCAGTGCCCTGCCGTAGGTCAGCACGCCGAGCTATCTGCGTTCTCCAGTGTTTGTCATTTTCCATCAGCCTCCATTTTCCTCCGAAATCTCTTTGGTGTACCAATTAATCCAGAGGGTTTTCATTTACTCAGGCCGTCTCAACCAGCAATACGCTAATACCCCCCACAATCACTGCCAACAGCTCGTAATACATTTTAACTGCTCTTCGGCCTTTGATGTGTTAGCCTTCTGGGCAACATTATCATTACCCTTTATATACCTCCGTAGGTGAATGTAGTGCTGTACAGCGGCTCGCATATGCTAACTGAGAGCCAGGGTTTGTTTGTGCCTGAAATAAAGTGTGTTGTCCTAGGAATCCTACAAGAATTGTTCCTTTTTTGTTAGCAAAAACCCCAAACAAGCTGCTGACCCCCCCCCCCCAAAAAAAAAAAAAAAAAAAAAATCCTGAGAGATCTTATTTTCAAAGTGGATGAGCAAATATAGTAAGGAAAAGGACAAACCGAATGAGGCCTTCACCTGGGGAGTGATGCTGTGATAGGAAGCCTCAGTGGTGGACAGGGATTCTGGTAGGAGTCTGGGTGTGGACAGCGTGCCAGCACAAGCCGGTAGTGTGCCTTGCACACGTGCACGTGCTGTAAATAAAAACGCTGCTTTAGCTGAAGCACCGGATACAGCTAGATTCAGGGAAATATAAGGGGCAATTTGTAGGGAGCCGGGGGCATGCATTCTTCACAACTTTGGAGCCATTTACGGTTTTGAGGGCTCTCTTAATGGAAATAGTTACAATTGCATTTCTCAGGGAACATAAATCAGCATGGGTGGCGTCAGGCTGACAATTTGGAAGGGCGCTCAGCCCAGCTCGGAAACTGTGAAAGCATTGAAAGGTCTGAAAGCTTAGTCTGAGATCGTACAGGTTAGCCAAGGTCGTTTTACAAAGGCCACATGATTCACAGGTGCTTACAGCGGGTGGGTGGCGAAACAAGCTCCCCAGAACAAGCTACTTTTGTGGAAAAAGATGGATACCCGATGCGAATATGGGTGCACACAGTGGGGTCCCTGGAAGGTGGAGCAGAGGCATTTCTAAGGAAGGCTGTCAGGGTCAGTGTGAGAAAGGTGTCTGCCCCTGGTAGTGTATCCCTGAGCCATCCAGCAAGGGGAAAGATGCTGCCCTTGCCCAGCCAGGCTGCAGGCCCCAGACTGCTCTAGTGATCCTGCCATGTTCTCCGACACAAGGTGTTCAATGGCTCCCCCAGATCCCATGGTCAGCCTGTAGCCACACAGCAAAGCCCAATCCTCCAGAGAGCTGTCTGTCCTTGGTGGCAGTGTCCCCTCTCCTCCTCCACCTTCTCCGGCAGCCCTCACACAAGGGGACCTCATGCTTCAACGCTGCCAGCGCCGGGCCTGGTTTCAAGCAGCACGGCGGGCACTGAACAATAGGCCGCCATGTTGAGGCAGCTAGAGCCCGCAGTGCGCCTGACTGCGCAGCAGAAAATACTGTGGCGGGGCACAGCCCTCACGTACAAAGCTGATGGGCCCCTGAGAGTTCATTGTGAAGCAGCCACTGACGCGCACAGCTAGCGCTGAGGAACACAAACTGTGCTTTCTAAAAATATAAAAGCGCGGTGCCTGAGGGAGGGCAGCTCGGGGCAGGGGAAGCGGGGGGAAGAAGCTGTCTCTGTCGCCCCATCCTTGCAGGGTTTTCCAGGCTTCCCTCATGCTGTGGCTGGGGGAGATTCAGAAAAACAGATGCTGTGGAAGGGCATGGCATGGCCACAGGCTGCCTCAGTGCTGTACAAGTGAGCCCCAGGTGGAGAGAGTCTCGTCCTTCGTGAGCCTGCAGGGGAAGCCACATCCCTTTGCCAGGTCTTTCAGGTAGGAGACAGCTCTCCCAGCAAAGCTGTGGGTTTGCAGAAGACCTGGCAGCTCTGAAGCATGTGGCCAGATGCACCTACACCAGGCAGCCAGGTGTCTGTCACTGGGATGAAGGTGGCCACTGGCTGCCCTTTCCTAGCCCACAGATATGGCAGGTGTAGAGTGCTCCTCAGCCTCTCATGCTGCACAAGGGAGTGAATCCCACTGCTGGGCTCTGCTCTGAGCCCCCAGGAGTCTCTTGGTAGTGAGATGTGGATCCTTCCTTCCATCACTCTTCTTGGGCAGGAAGGAGATGATGCTGCACCTGGGGAAACTGCCTGGAAACTCTCAGCTGCCCCATGCAGGTACCCAGGGCTCCATAGGACCTGACATGAGGGATGTGCTGCCCCATCCCACACAGGGAGGTGTGGATGCAGAAAGTGCCCAGTCTGCAAATGCAGAAACGGTTAAAAGTTGCTGGTAAATAAAATTTGCAGAAGAAAAACATGGTCTGGGCGAAGAAAAGCATCCTTTCCAGCACTGCCAACCCCACATACTCAAAAATTATGCATCAGACTCCAGAGAATCACGGCTTAAGAATCACAAGGGTTTTTGTTCTGGTTTTTAGAGAAAATTATAAATGTTTGAGCTTCTCCTAATTGCGCTCTGGTTTCTTGAACTTTATGATCACATTTTCAAACTTTTCTCCAAATCCCTGAGGGCTACAAACTTCTACATTTTTATTATAAAATAAAGTTGAGAACCTCACCTAATGCCCAGAGCTTTGGGGCAAACAGCAAGATCAAAAGGCTTATGCTAAAATGAGGAGAATAGGAAATACTAGAGATCTCAAGAATGAAAACCCTGCAATATACGTGCCTCTTGCCATTTTTCTCCACTGTTGCGCAAAAAGCTTTTAGAAGATATTTTGCTGTCTCAAAAAAACATCTCATTGCTTAACTGCGTTTTTTGCCAACTTTAAGAGCAGGTCTTCAGTAACATTTTGCCTCTGAGGACAGCATTGCTTGCAGCAAAGAGGCACAGAAAGAGGCACAGGGGCAGCAGCCTCAATTTTATCAGGGACACAGAAGCACAATGTTTCCAACAGTGTGTTGTATACTATGCACTACTGTTCAGGGAGCTGGGAAGGTTCAGAAACATTATCCAAGGTCAATCCCAGACCTGACATGCAATTTTTAGCCTGGTCCACATCTCCTTTACAGAGCAGAAACATATTGCCAGAAACGGGCAGGTGGGTGCCATCCAACTTACTTTTTTCATTTCCTACAGCACTGAAAGACCTGCCATATGTCTTTCCAGGGATACCTGTGTTAGGGGTTAGATAACTGTGATAAATGTATCAGTCTGTGAGGAGCTCAGTGATCCAAGATTAAAGGCCAATCTGAGTGCAGACTCGGTACTATGCCTCTTGAAAGGGTCTGGCTTGTAGCAACCTGATTATCGATCGCTGTCTGTAAGAGAACGTGATACTCTCGTGTGCACTGGTCTCATTAGCTTTATTTACCACGACACTTCCTGAAACATCCTCTTGTAGATATAATGGCTTCCTTTGTTTGCTGTCAGAATGAACAAATGGAAATAAAAACACGCTGCTAATAATTGTGTCCTGCTATAATTAAAGCAAGACAAAAGCATTGCACTGCTGGGTTTGGCTTGCTGTTGCCTGGGTGCTTGTACAAGACCTAGCACAGGGGGTGACCGCAGGAGCAGCAACAACCAAAAGACAACAGTGCCTAATTCATTTAGGGAACTCAAAGCCACAAGGTTTCCATCAGCCCAGAAACTCAGCAAAATATCCAGGAGGACAAGGAATACATTTGAATAGCCAGAGTATCCACAGGATGTGGAAACAACACCCCTCAGGCTCCAGCGTTTAACCTGGGTATTTATTAATGGGAACAAGAAGATACTTTGTCCATGAGCAGGTCAGTCCATCACTGTCTGATAAGGATTTGCTTCCCTCAGTTTCCAAAATAACTCACGGTGGCCAGAGACAGTACAGAGGATGGATGTGCTTTATTCCTTTAGCACAGTTGGGCAAGATACGAGGCTCTCCTTTCCTTTTATGCAACGAAACAGGCACAAACCCAGTGGAGATCAGCCCAGAGGTAAGCAGCAGCAGGGCTGGCAGCCCCAGGCATGCACCTTTGCTGGTATGCAGACAGGAGCCAGCTCCCTGGAGCACTCCTGACAAAGCTTAGCACACGTGGGCCTAAGGAGCTGCAAAAGGTGAAGAAGGATGGCAAAGTACACAAATAAGCACGGGGTTTTCAAGAGCCTGCTTGAACTTTGAAAAGTTCATGGTTCATTGGCACTGTGCAGAAAGGCCAGGAGTTCAGGACAGAGACAACAGGGCTTTAGCAGGATGGTGCACATCGGCTGCACATCAGGGCTGGGGCAGTGAGCTTCTCTTGGACCAAAGGATACACCATCACACCAGGCTCCCAGCCTCCCCAGCATTACTTCAAGGCACGGTGGAGCCCAGTACTACATCTCCCATCCTCCAGAGTCTTCATGCTCACCACACCACCATGAAGCAAAACATGCCTTCAGTCCCTGCCTGCAGAGGTAGAACAAGGGCAGAAATTTTCTTGCCTATGTCCTAAAGCAAGGGCAAGCAAGGAAATAGGTCCAGCTCACTTCTCCCACAAGCAAACAGCATAACCCTCTGCTTGTCCTACCTCCTTGGTCTGAATCAGGGCCCCGTAGAAATGAGTGCAAGTTTAAAACAAAGGGAATGAAAACAGTGGGAGGAAACAGCAACTCTCTCCCAAAATCCAAACTAAAAAGCAGTGACATAACTATGTCACTGAGTTCTCTCAAAGCTTGCCTTGTAAACAAACAGATCCTCCTTTGCCTTTTCCCTATGTGAAGTCCCTACACCCTCACTGTGCTAATGGTCAGTAACACTGCATGCCCTGCTGATGGCTTAATGCCATGTTTCTGCTGCCTGTAGATTTAATCAGGATTCCTTAGCAACATCAAGAAGCCAAACCTGAAGAAACCCTTCTGTAGCTGGAAAGGGTTATGCTCATCTTATTAAGCTCAGGTTGCTTCAGGACCTTTCCCGTCCCCACCCCACAGAGGGGACAGTGATAAAGTAGGGAGCAAGCTCTAGACTGACCCAGGCTGTCTGCTCAGTGACTTTCTCATCACTGAGCCTTATGAGCAAGTGCAGTGTGGCTGCAACATTTATTTCTGCCTTGTGGGGAAATCTCTGCTGTGAAGTAAGCTCATGCATCCTCTTCTCAAAGCACCTAATGTGCCAATGGGAGAGAGGAAAGTCTGATCTTCTAACACAAGCAATCCACAGCTTTGCTGCAAGATTAAGTAAGAGTAAGCGGAGTAAGTAGCCACAATAGTAGGAAGAACAGAGACAGAATCTTCAGACACCACTGTCAGTGATGCAGAGATACAAGAGTCAGACAAAGCCATGAGCTCTGCAGTGGCACCAGCAATTTCATCCTTATTAGCCCTGTAACTCCTGTAAGTATCCCACAAAGGCACTGAGGAGCATGGCATGCTCCCTCACGGTGCTCTCCTACTAACTGAGCAGTTTAAATCTATGGAGATAGAACTTGAGCACAATCTACCCTGATGAACTTATTTAAAATGTAATCCTACAAATGAAGCACACTTTCCTCAGGTCAAGGCACAATTGACCTTCACAGGTGAAAGGCATCTATATCTAGAAACCAGGCAAGAGGCCAGGGAACTTTTTATCATTCAGATCAGCTCTCCCAAGCTCATACCCAAACGGCTTGTCAACTGACATACAGAAAACACAGCATTTTTCTGAAAACTTGTAGCCCAGCGTAGGTCAGAAGAATGGCAGAAAAGGCTTGTTTTTCCCATGAAACTAGGAGCAACAATCAAAGCTATATGGATCAGATACAGGCCTGAGGAAGGTCCTGATGGTCTGCCAAGAGCATTTTACCAAAGTCTGAAGGAAACTTGAGCTGTCAAATATTTATGAAGCTGTCTTTTACATCCGGTCCCTAAGGAAACGAAACAGTCAAGATCAACTAGACCCACTAATTACGTAGTTAACAAGTGACTACAATAGACAATAAGCAATATCTTGGGGAAAAATAAACATCACGGAAACAAACGGGCTTCCTACACTCTGCGTAATCGCCCCCCCATAGGCCTGCCTTTGAGGTAAGCCTGCTCAATGCCACCCTTCCTGCGGGCAGGGGCAGCCAGCCAGGATGTCCCTCCACAGGTGGGGACACAGTGGTGGCCCAGGCATTCTCCTCACCCCACCGCAAGTGCTGGCCTCCATGGCTGATGTGCCTCATGCCCTTGGGACTGGTTTCTCCAGAGTTTCCCGGACTCTGAGGACACAAGCATAAGCGATGCCCACCTGACTACCAAGCTCAAATTTCCAGCAAATTCCCTAAAATGGAGAAGAGGCATAGAAATAAGCTGGTTTTTCACTGCTGACCAGCTGAGAGCTGACGCTGCTGAGCACTCCCCGGGCCCCCACGAGAGACAAAGCCATCAGGAACATCACAGGAGGGTGCCCTGTACCCTCCTCCGCCTGCTTAAAATAAGTGTCACCAAAGCAGACAGATGCTGGCGCTGTGTCTCAGCAGGCACTAATTTAGCCCATACGCAGCACTCTTACATCATTTGTTCTGGGCAGAGCTAATTGCAAAATTAATTATTTTCCTATCAAACAAAATTGTGTGAGAGGGGAGGTTTGTTGTGTGTTGTTTTTGTTATTTTTTTCTTTTAATCCTGATGGATGCTAAATGGGATTTGAACAAACAGAAACAACGTTGGCTCCTGCTGGCACTCAGAGAAGCGCTGTGGGGCAGAGCCAGCAAATGCCCAGCACTGAAACTTGGGGCACAGCCACCAGGAAGGCAGGGGGACGCCCCGTCATGGGGCATGGGGGTATCGGACCATGTGCTGTGAAATGCCACCACAGACACAGCTGGTCAGCAAGCCTCTGATGGCACGTCCCAGTTGCTGCAAGAGGCCTCCATGGTGTGGTGCCAACCACTCGGACTAGGCCCCTGTCACCCTGCTGCCCCCCAGGTGTGGAGACACAGTGGGACTCAGCACAGGGATGAGGAGAGAGGAGCATGGCCCTCATCCTGGCATCAGTTGCCCCAGCTTGTGGTGGCTTGTGCCTGTTTATACGTGATCCTACTTGAGCACGGGGCTGGACCAGACAAACTGCAGAAGTCCCGTCCAACCCCAACCGTTCTGCAATCCCGCAATGGTTTCCATCTCAGGACAAGCCTGATCGATTTGTTCTCGTTACTCGCTATCCATCAGAGTAGGATCAGACATAAACAGACTTAATCACCACCCCAGACACACAATTTTCCTTGTGTCGAGCCAGACCAAACTGCAGGCAGCAGCTGCTAGTCACACTGCTCAGAGACCTACCCTGCATGCATTTATGAATAAGCCCAAGGCAACCAGCCTTTGAGCAGCCCAAAAGGCTGAGGAGAAGACACAAAAGCAGGTCAGCTTCTGCTTTAATTATGACAGGGACCCCTGGAGAAAAAATGATGGCTCTCCTTTTTTTTAAAGAGCTAAAGGTACCTAGATTTTAATTGGGAAGCCAGGTGGGCTGCATCACCCAGATGATGATAACAGAAGTGAACTGTGGCCTTGGGGAGACACAGCTGGAACAGATCATGGCAAGGAGTGATTGCCCCTGCAGAAACCCATCCTCTTTGAGCCTGATGGCCACTCCAGCACCAGGCAGACACAGCTGCAAGGGTAACCCTACCTCAGGACAGGCTGCTCCAGGCCTTTGGCATTCCTGTGGTGGGATGGGTGCTGACCCACCACCAGCATCCTCCTGAGCAAAAGGACAAAGCTCAGCAGCTGGGGGGGGAGAATGAAGAAAGAAGGATATAAGGAAGGCTCAGGAGACTATTTCTGACACTAAATGGAGCCAAACACCTTAAAAACCCACAGAAAAAAAAATAGTTAAGCATATAACTGTGCAGCAAGTAAACCTTACATGAGCAAAGTATGGGCACCCAGATGCCAAGGTCGCATCTCAGACTGTGGGCCAACATAGTGTGAAATCTGGCACAAATCATGTCACCACTGCTCTTGCTGGACACATCTGCTGAAGTGTGGCCTTTGGGCAACAACTGGGCTGAGCTCAATTATGTTAAGTTCTGTAAAAACAAAGAAGAAATGACAGCCCCAGCTGCAAATTAGAAAACTGGACCTCGGCTCCCCACCAGTGAAAGAAGCACAAGAGCCATTTCATATTTGTCAAGTAAATTTATTAGGCTGCATTATGAAAGCATGAAGCACTGACACCACTGGTGTCTTTCAAAAAAAAGTCTCCAACACAGATCATGCTGAGCACCGACAAGAAGCCTGCAAACTTTGTGTGGTTTGCTTTCTGAGCATCACCTTTAGCGCCTCAGGCTTGTCAAACATCCTACAACACCCAGTATATTCGAACATACCTCTGAATTTGGGAGTATCTGACAATAATAATAATAAAAAAAATAGATCCAAGCAATGGCACCTACGGTGAGACTTTGTTGTTTTATGAGGGCTTTTATCCTCGGAGAGCGATCCAGTCTGGGCATGCAACCACTGCCCTCAAGTGGCCTGAGCTGCGCAGGACCTCACCGTGCAGAGAAAGCTACTCGAGCACATTTGAGCTGTGAGGAAAAAAAGAGAACATTCACAGCACATTTAGAAATTTACCCTTTAAGAGCTGAGTCCAGAAAAACGGTCAAAAAAAAAATTGTCAAAAGCCACTGGGTGGCTGCTGCTGGCCCCTCCATTTGGCTCCTCTGAGGTGAAAGCCTGCTCTGTGCCCAGCTAGACAACATGGAAATCTTTCCTCCAGCCTTTCTGCTCCATCTCCAGGCACCCTTCTGGGCAGCAGCAGGTCCCAGGTCCCACTGCAGGGAGCAGCAGCTTCAGAGCCACGATGCAGCTCTTCGGCCAGGACCGACTGCCAGCACCCAGCTCCAGTGCCTGCGTAAAACAACCAGCCATCTCCAGCGTGAATCAGAGTGAAATAATGGTGCTCATTTATTCTGCCTCTCTCAACCAGTCTCTCCCTTGGTTCCTGTGGCGTTTCGTGCTTTAGCTACTGGGAACGAGCAGGCACACTTGAAGAGCAAACAACTAGCAGGCATTTTTTTAATTACCGGAGTAGCTGAAGCATTCTTCTACAGCCCTGCAAAGACAAAGGGTGAGGGTGTTACAACATCGTCATTTTCAAACGTTGAGCAGCCCTGAGCTGGCAGGGGGAGGTCTGGGTGCTGCGTAGGCAGCGACACTTTAAAGCCACTTAGCTGCTGGACTTGACCCTTCTTGCATCTCCTGACAACATTCAGCGTAGGGCTAAAAGGCGAACACTGTGAAAACAAACATTTCGAGAGGCTGCCTGGGGATCTGATCTGGGGGTGGGGGGAGAAAAAGAGAGGTGATTGCTGGGCACTTTGCTCCTGCATTTTTTCCTAGTTCCTAGGGCCTTGCTGACACAGGACACCTGGCAGCACCTACATTATCGCAGGACCCTTGCAGCTGCCCAAAGCAAAATGAAATGCACACAGTATAGCAGGCCACCTCCACTCGCTTATTTGGCCAGGACCCCAGAAAGGTGGCTGGGTGTCCCTCTTTGCCTCACCACCCACACAGAGGCCTCCGAGAGCAGCACCGTAGGCACTAACAGCAAGGCTGCAGGAGAAGCCACAGACACAAAGAGAGCTCCTGGTGTGGCTCCATCCCGCTGCTTTCCCCTCTCCGGCCCTGCTGTGGGCACTCCTCCTCCCAGCCTGATCAGGGATGCCATGCTAGGCTACAGAGCTCTTGTTGGTTGTTTTCCGGACTGGCTCCCAGCCTAGAAAACAAAGTCCCCAACCCAAAGCGAGCGGGGAGGACGGGGAGGGCAGCCCTGCCGTTCCTTCCTGCTGCCAGTGGCGTTTCCAGAGCAATGGGACTGGAGAGGTCGAGCCCGTGGAGCTCCTGGATGAATAGGGGCGACGAGGACGTCCTGAAGTGGGCAGAGCAGCATTATAATGACCTTCAGCAAAGGGATTAAAGTTTGGCCATACCACAGTGCGCCTCCCAGGTTGAAATCCCTTCCCCAGTCCTGTACCACTGAGCAAGGGACTGCAGCCCTAGAACAACACACATTCTGACAATTTCCCCATCTAAAATACTTTTAGACCCAGAATTGATATTCTGCAAGCAGAGGACAAGATTTTGCCAAGTTGGGAAGATTTTCTTGATGCAGAAGGACTGAGGAGTGCTCCTGCTCACTGAGCGTGGCCAGGAAGGGATGGAACAGCAGGCAACCTCGCCAGAGCATTTGAGAGCTGAGCTCACAGGTGTGTAAGGTAATGGCATTCGCTTCACTCTGTTTTCATGTGTTTTACTTAGCATGTTGTTAGAGACCTGAGACTTAGGGGGTGGCTCAGGTCAACCTACTCCATAAATGAAGGCAGAAGCTGTAGAGGAGCCAGGAAGCGCAGCACCTGCAGTGTGGACAATGCAGGGAGGCACATCCCATGTCCAGCCAGGACACGGGGAGTGGAGGGGCACCAGAAGAGGTCCCCTCTGCAGCAGCTGGAAGAACAGCCTTCAACAGCCACCTCTTTGCTCCTGCTTCCCACCTCAGTGCCAGCCACCCTGCCCTCCTTTCCCTGCACACCCGGGCACTGGGTGCATGCTGTGCCCTGCCACGAAGCCTTGTGCGGGCATGGGCTGCAGATGTTGGTGAAAGGTCCTGCCAGTCAGAGCCTCTGCTCAGTGCTGAGGGGGAATAATATCTTTGAATGTTGAGAAAGCTTGGTGAATTACTTCTCTTACGCAATCAAAGAAAAACCTAGATGGTGCTCTGATCAGAAGAAATGGCATCAAATAAAAAAAAAAAGAAAGAAAAAAAAAATAGACAAGAGCTCTTCTAACTGTCTTTACCAGTTTTGCATGAGCCTTTCCTTCACTTTCACCAGCTCTGCCCTCATCTTCATGGTGAGGACAGGCAGTGGAAGAGGAGAGAGACCAGAGCAGAAGCTGCACCAACTGCCCCATGTGTGGCTGAAGTGAACAGGGTGCCCCTTGGTTGCTGTGGGACTAATGGGCTGAGTCCTGTGACTAGTGTCAGTTGTCTGTGCGAGTTGCATGAGTTGTCTGTTGTGACTCTGTACATCAGACAAGATAAATTACAATGTACACAACTCCTTAAAAGAGAGTTACATTTCCACTGCTGCTAATAAGAGCGGTGGCCTGAAGGAGAAAAGGTGCAGACCAGAGGGAGCAGAACTCACATTTTGATTGCATTCACTGTATTTTATTCAGACTTCTGAATCAATCCCTTCCTCACCTTGACAGCTGCTTACAGAAGGAGGGACCAGTAAGCTCTTCATCAGGATGAACAAGTCCAGGGGAGCCTCTGAGAGCCCAGAGCTCTGGAGCCCAGGCTGCACGCAGAGCACCTCCTTGACCAGCGCAGCACCAGCGTTTGCATTTGGCCATGAGGCCACAGACACAGCCCTGAATGCGATCCTTATCGTGGTCCTCTTCGTTATCATGGTGTCTCTGGGGTGTACGATGGAGATAGCCAAGATCACAGCTCACCTCAGGAATCCCAAAGGCGTAGCTGTTGCTGTAATGTCTCAGTACGGCGTGATGCCCCTGACAGCGTTTGTACTGGGCAAGCTCTTCCAGCTGGGCCCTACAGAATCCCTGGCCATCCTCATCTGTGGCTGCTGCCCGGGTGGAAACCTCTCAAACATCTTCAGTCTGGTGCTGAAAGGTGACATGAACCTCAGGTAAGCGAGGTTGAGTGTGTGCTTGTTGCCTAGGCCAATCCAGTTGTATGGCTGGTTCACCTAGGCTGCTCAACAAGACAATGTGTCTCTGCAAGAAGTGTGAGGCATTACTGTCACTTGTGAATTCCTGAAATGTGGGCTGCACCCATAAACAAGGGTCTGTTCAGAGCTTATACAGAGTTCGAGCCATCTTCCCCTCGCTGTGTTCATATCATGTCCTCCTACAACCTGATAGTGATGCTGAGGGAGCCTCAGTGACAGTCTGGGAAAGAACAAGGTAAACTTAATATTAAAAACATGCGTCCAGGTTAGTAAAATAAGTATATTAAAAAAAAAAAAAAAAGAAAGCATTCTTCTACTGAAGGTTTCTTTCTCCATCTCAGCATTGTAATGACCACATGCTCAACAGTCCTGGCAATTGGACTCATGCCTCTGCTTCTGTATCTCTACTCGGGAGGACTCTATGAGGGTGATTTGAAGGGCAAGGTACCTTACAAAGGAATAATCACCTCCCTGACCCTGATGCTAATCCCTTGTGCCATCGGCATCATCTTGAATGAGAAGAAACCACAGTACACCAGCTTTGTCATCAAGGTAAGAAGTATCCTGTGCTAGTCACCTTTCAGCCAAGCACCTTGAGGAAGTTTACAAAAACATAGTCACAGAAAAATTAATTTCTTTAAAGCATGCCACAAAACAATGAAAGGGTTGAGGACAGTACTCAAGACATCCACTTCACTGCTTTAGTCATTAAAATATTTTCCCAGATAAAAGTCCTCCACCTTTACCAGACAAACAATAATTTGTAGGCATCTTCCTGTTTTGCTCTCCTTTGCTAGCTTCATTTTTAACTTCTTTTGCTGCAAACAGCACTAATTAGCCTCATAGGCACTGCCCCCGCCTATTGCTGCAGCCAACGCAGACCCCGGATAGAATAAACAAACACATTTCCCACTGTTCTCAGAGCTGCAGCAGAGCACAAAGCACACATTACTAATTTGCTGTTTACATCGGTGAGGTAACTGTCCAGCTGAACCCACTAGACCTCTAAGCACATGCTTATGCCTGGAGCCATCTTCCTACCTCACTTGTACATTTAGCATTCAGACATCAGAAGGAGAATCTGGACAACCAGCTAGGCCATTGCCTAACTCAATAGCTTCAACAGCAGTACCCAGAGAGCTGCTAACAACTTTGTAAAGCTGGTTTTCTTAGTTTATTTCACCAAGGCTTCATCACAGAGAAACTGGGACCGAGCACCACAAGATTTGGGCACCCTGACCTAGCAAAGACCTGACAAAATGGCATTAGGAATCACTAACCTGTAAGAGAGATGGGAACCCAGGAAGCAGGCTAGGTGTAGGAGGAGCAGAGCTCTTTATAGGTCCCTTTAGCCAGCACAGGGCAGTGATAACCAGGCTGTTTCAAAAGAAACATTGAAAGTCTAGCGCAAGAAGGTGACCTACACTGGCCCAGCTGCCCCTTAGTTCTTGTTCCTTTCCACTAACACCGCTTTTCCATTTATTTCCTCTATAAAAGAGGAAGCAGTAGAGAGTTGCTTTAAAAATCACCTGGGGAGCTCCACACAAACTGGATTCCAAAGTGGAGACATAGGCACGAGGGTTGTATTCTGCCTCTCAGAATCCCCCAGGTACTTCTTCTGCTGAACACCAGCAAGACAGTCTGAAAATGCAGCCCCCACCTGCATTCCACGTCCACCGCTGCGAGTAAAGAGGCTTCCTCCACACCTGCTTTGGGTAGCAGGCACATCACGCCAGACTCACAGCAGGACGTGGACAGAAATGCATAGCAATGCCTGAGAAACGTGGCAACTCATTATGTATGTGTGCCAGGAGGGTACTCAGTTGTTTAAGGTCTCTTTAGGTAATGCCTAAAGATGGTGTCTTGTTGATTACTTATAACATTTATGTCCACAAAAGGCACATATGCACTGTGAATCTCTCACTATAAACTCACATATAATATAAACCCACAGCGGGGCACTGGGCACAGCCACTTCCAACAGCTGATGCAAATTTTGTTGGGGGTTTTTATCTTGTCCCTGTCTTTAACGCTTATTTTAGACAGGGATGGTTGTGCTTCTGCTGTCATCTGTTGCAATAATTGTTCTATCTGTGGCCAACGTGGGAAGCAGCATCATGGTCGTCTTCTCACCATCCCTCCTCGGATCCTCTGCCTTGATGCCTTTTATCGGATTCCTTCTGGGCTACGTTCTCTCTGCAGTCTTCAAGCTTAATGACCGGTATGTTCCCCTGCGCCTCCCTCCCCTCACTCTATGACCAGAAGAAACAGAGAGGCTTGGTATGCAGAGCACTGGGGAAAGCACTGCCTTCAAAATGGATGCACTTTTGTGAAATAGGCAGGCTGCAGTTTCCCAAAATGTGTCCTAGGAGCATGAGCAGACACTGCAAGCTGGCCCCAAGCCATACTCCCACACCTTGCCTAAGAACAAAACAAACAAAACCTTTCTCTTCTCATCCCATCTAATTCAGGTAAGAAATCCTCTAGCCCTATTTTCTATTCACTTTTTGATTTCACAACTTGGACTCCTCTTTTTACCTTGGAAACAGATTTCTTTTCTGTGGGAAACAGCGGAGTAGGACACAAGTCCTCCAAACACCACTAAAGACAAAGTCCAGATATATAGCATGTGTCTCCATACAGTGCAAAGGGAACACATGGCAGAACCTCCTAGGGTTCTTAGTATTGCTCCTGATAAAGCAGCTTTTAGCACAGGCAGATGCATGAAACTGCAACAGCAAGGTGGGTGGAGCCTGTCTTAAATTGTTTCAAATGGATCAGATTTTGTCAGTTTTTCCCCCCCCCTTCAGCTGCAGGCGGACAGTGTGCATGGAGACCGGCTGCCAGAACGTCCAGCTGTGCTCTACCATCCTCAAGGTTGCCTTTGCCCCAGAAGTCATCGGCCCCCTGTACTTCTTCCCACTGCTCTACTTGATGTTCCAGCTTGGAGAGGGCCTTCTGCTCATCCTGGCCTTCAGAATTCACGATGGAATAAAGAAACCCAAGGGCAAGTACAGCTTTGCCCCTCTATTTCCTACTCTTTCCAGCCCAAGCCATATATGTTTACCTATAACTGCCAGCCAATTACTGCTTTCTAGGGACAGAATACAGTTGCCCTTTAACTCAGAGTTACCATAGATTACACACGAAGTAGAAATCACATTAAAAAAATAAACAAAAAGTAGAGGTAATTGAAGACACTAGGAATTAGGGCTTCTCACATCAGCAGAATGTTTCAGAAATAAACATACTATCTATACTACCAGTGCTCACAGGTTTTCAGAGTGCTATGCTTTTTGACAGAATGTAATTTTTTTTTGGTTTGTTTTGTTTTTCTTCTCTGCTATAAAAAACACCCAGCAACAACATTGCAGTTACATCACAACCTTTTTATAACCTGCCTAGGCTCACAACTACCTACTCTCACATTTTTCTTTAGATGTGACAGAAGAGATCTGTGCAGCCGCGGACACAAATACTGCTGGAGAAATGAAACCAGTATCGAGACTCTGGAGAAACAGCAGGAAACCAGGAAAATGGCCCAGAGAGATTCTGCAGCAGTCGGTATCACAGCTCCCCAGAGCTCCACCTTCTGCAGCTGGTTTACAGGTTTCCAGCAGTTCCATGTAAAGCTTCAATCTGCCCCTTTTACACCAGAGGATGTGCCACAGAGCTATCTCCACCCTCACTTGCTTTCCAAAGACCATGCTTCTCAAACAGCTTCTCCTGAGATCCAAGAGATTGCTGCAGGTTAGTGTAACGTCCCTAATAAAGACCCAAAATGGGGTGTGGGAGTTTCCCAGTGTAGGAGCCAAGACCCGGCATGCAGCTGAATACCTCATGGGCTGCTGCTCACTCCTTTTCCATGAGCCCGAGCACCGTGCAGTGTGCTGCTGCTATTCATGCAGTGGACAACACAGAAATCCTGAAGGTGGCTATGCCGACTGCCTCCATGAGCAGAGCTCAGGTCCAGCAAAACGTACTGCTGAAAATAGGTGAGCCCTGAACACGCCCTGCTTTGCAGGAGTCCGTCAGCTAAGCAGAACAAACCTGCAGGACACTATTTAGCTATCTTTGTACTTCAAAGTTCAGCAGGAGGGATGACGGCCATTAAAACCTGTAATGTGCTAAAAATACATTGTAACATGAAATAAACCAGCTGAACCAAGAATAAACAGGATCAACCCAGGAACCTACACATAACAAATGCAAGGTCATTGTTGACCAGAAGTCAGTATAACCCTCTGCAGTGCAAAGCCTGACACCTCCCACTCCCAAAAACTGTCTAGTAATAATCTCGTTACCTACATTACCAATCTGAATCTCTCACCGCTTGCTCACAAGGCACTAAAGCTCATTCATGTCACCGTGTTCCAAGCTAACTAACAAGAAACCAGCAACAGAAAGGAGAAAAGGAAAAGCGGCCTGCACAGACACCACAAATCTACCCACAAGGACAGTAGTAGCTCTGCTCTGTGCAGACCCCTCCTCAAGTTTCCAAGAACCTGACCATAGGTTCCAAGGATTTTTTTTCTTAAAAGGTTTCACTGTGTTACTGGATTATCTTTGTAAAGCACTTCAAAAGAAAACATTTTTAAATCTTTAGATTCACTTTTAAAGCTCTCTTGTAGCATGGGTAAGGGTTTGAGAAACACAGGGATTGCAGGTTGCTGCCCCGGTAATGGGTGGGTGAACATACACAGGACCAGGAGGCAGAACTGCAGGGCACCACTGTTGCAGTAGTCTCAGATGCCAGCTTAAAATTCCCTCTTCTTTCTCTAGAATTAGGACTCATTGCTATAAAAATATTTTATCCAAATCTGTGTCCTCTCACATACATGCACACACACAGATGGAAGTTTAGTGACTGCATCCATCTTTAACTTTCCACACTTACTCTCTGAAAGCAAAAATCTGAATGATTCACCCATTCCAATTTTTGCTATGAACTCACTCTCTCTCACAGCAGGCTTCTTATTACCAAGCTTCTTACTGCAGAACATGAAGTCCCCAAAAAGATGCAGATACCTACAGGCACAGTGTGACGCATTCTGAAAGGAAGTTCTCCCCCACACCCAAAATGGTCAGCAACAGCTTTTTCTAGATGAGTCTACGCGAGGCGCAGTCACAAACACTTCCCCAGCAGTAACACACCAGAAGCAGAGACGTGTTTCTTTATACTTTATTTGAGCTATTTAGTTCTTAAGTATCAAGAATTAGGGTGCTTTATAGAATACTATTACCACAGGGCAGTGAAATGGGCATTTTCTTACTGTAGTGCAAGTCATATTAAATGAAAAGCTTTTAAAATAAAGTTTTATTACCAATATTGACCAGCACTTAATCTGCTGGCCTCTAGCTGAAACAATGGTTCTAACGCATGAAAAAAATACGCTCTGGAATAAAGCTTTATGTACAGCACATGTAGAGCTCTTAGATGCCTAAAGCTGTTAGTTTAATTTGAGATATTAAACTAATATTCTGAATTGCTATTCACAGTTGAATATACTGGGAATTTAGTGTTTAGGTTACTCTTTTTGGAGTACAAAAAAATTTAAAGTGGTCTGCTTTAGTTATAAAGAGCTCTGTCAATATACACAAACTATACACTTCAGACATTCACAAAAAATGTGAGCAAGAAAAGGGTTATCAAAAAACATTTAATACAATTAGTCAATAACCCTCCCCACCATGGTCCACATCTACAAAGATCCCCCATCCCTCCTCCCTTCTTTCCCTTCCCTCCCCTCCCCACCCGAACCCTTCCCCGCAGAAAGTCACATACTTACCACAACTTTTAGCAAGTATGGTTTAAAAAAGGGCCCCCAGGGCAAGTTACTTATAGTTCAGTTGCCACTGTCAGCAGATCTGGACCTCGACCTAGACCTCTGCCGATCCACGGATGCTGGGGATTTAGACCTACTGGAAGAGCCACGTTTCTGGCTCTTCTCTGGCATTGGAGATCTACTAATTGATCGAGACTTGCTACGGCTCCTACTCCTTGACCTGCTGTAAGACTTGCGGCTTCGGGAACGGGAACGGCTACGAGACCTGGATGAGCTTCTGCTACGGGACCGTGACCTGCTTCTGGACCTACTGAGGAAGCAATGAGCATCGGTGTCAGCAGCGGAGCATCACAGGCCACTACAGCAACCGTGCAGTTTGCCTGGCTGCTGCCTTCAAGGCTTTCTCAATCCATAATCGATCATTAATTAACAGATATCCATACCTGTGCCTTTTGCTGCCTTCGATTAGTTTGATTTTCCTTCCATTAATTTCTTTACCAGAAAGCTTTTCAATAGCATTCTTTAAGTCACTGTAAGAGGCAAATTCAACCACCCTATAGAAATGAAAAAGGAAAAAAAAAAAAGCCAAAACACCTCACTATTAGAAGTTGTATTTTTGATGCTAAAAGAGGAAAATACAATGTAAAAAAAAAAAAAGCTCAAAACCCCCACACTGCTTGGTGTGTAGTAACACCATGACAAACGCAAGCATGCACTAAAGAATTCCCCTCCCCAAATACCACAGACTGGAAGTTCAAAGGGTAGCTAAATCAAGCCACGAACAGCTGCTTAGTGCGGTTTGTAGCCAGCTTCCCTCCCCAGATAGCTACACAATATAGACGTGTATTAGCCTACAGCTCGCAAGAGAACTTTAGAGGCTTACCCTTCATTTAACTTAGGTCTGTGTGCATCTGCAAAGGTAACTTCCCCAGCTTGTCTCATGAAGTCTTTGAGATCCTAACACAAGACCAGTAATGTTATGCAAAGAAGTGGAAATAAATACTTATGTATATAAAAATAGTTTTTCCTGATTTTTTTTTTGTTTTTTAAAGAGCAAAGAAAAGAAACTTACGACTACTGAAAGAGAAGATGTTAGATAAATTACAAACATGGCAACTGCCATACTTGTATTCTATCAAAACTGAATTATCTATATCAGGGCACGAAATAAATGAAAAAAGCATATTGCTTTAAGCAAAATGCTAATAAAAGCGTCTTAACATTAAGGAAAATTAAATTAGTCTATGGAGATTATATAGATTAGAAAGAGAGACAGAGAGATCTAAAAAAATACATCTGTATATTTATATATAAATACTGGACTGAGTGCAAAATACTACCCATATATTTTTGAATTATTTCCGTTTCCATTTATATTATGAGTCTTATATGCATACAGAATTACATTTACATAACACCATTATTTTGTGCCCCATATGTCATTAAAAATATAGTTTACTTTACCTTTATTAACATTTCCCTAGGCTAGCCAAGCAGCAAACTGCATTAAGCGACCGGAGATACCGTCATGATTTATGCCCGACTGGCTCTTCGCCACCCACTTGTCGAACACTACCCAGTCGATGGAAGCCATTAATCGCACCGCCCTCCCTATTAGGAGACTACTGACGGATCCAGACATTCGCTATGCTTGATGTTACCAAGGACCACTTTACTGCGATCAGGATTCCAACGACCACCTAATTTCGTATCTTTCAACTCTTTTCGACCAGGAACTCTTATTCGGAAGCGTTACAGGAGGAACAGCTCTCAACTTAGGAATCAGATCTCGTTAACGCTCTGGGACCGCTGCAATGTGGCACTTTAAGGAGTGCATCGATTACGTCTAGACCGGCAAACACAGATCTAGAGGTGGCCAAGTGACATTGTAGGAGCTGACTGGAAAGTCAACCAGGCCCAACCAAGAGTGACCAAGACAGAACGATTAGGATAACCCACAGGCACTCCTCGTCATAAGGCCAACGACACAGATAGGCTGGCAAATAAAGGGTTTAATATGTGGTTAAAATGGATTTAGAAAACAAGAAAATAAATAAATATATTTCCTCAAATATATACATTTATTATTATAAATTAAAATTAACTAGCTTTCATTCAAAATATTTAAATTACATTATTTAAAATTACATCAATTACATAAACATTTTAATAAAATAGATTTACTTTTAATTGATTATTTTACAAAATAATTACATTACATACCCATTAAACGAAGTCAAAATAGTTAATCGTGTTTTAACAAACCTGCCAGCTGACTCGGGATGACAGATTTTCTACTATGAGCCGGTTCTCTGTTCTTACAGGTGGGGCACTTCTGCTGGGAAATGAAAATTAAGTATTAATTATTTATTAACTTAAGTATAATCGCATTCTAATGCTAACCAGGACTGTATCAATAATCCATTGTCAACTTATCACTGTTGTGACTACGTAATGCCGCAAGTAATCAAGAACAAGTGTCAATTACCTCGGGGGTACAAAAACATAAAGATGATGATTGTATCTAATTTTTTTGATTCTCGCAATCCTACTGCCACATTGGACTGACTAAAAAAGCAAACAGCACCTTTTGCTATCTCAGTGTACCTCACGTTTTGGGATGAGATGGGCTTGGGGTTATTTATTAAAGCCCCGTCAGTTCACGGCTATACGTACCTCCTGTCACTACGGGGACGGCGGCTGCTAAAGCGGTCAGAGTACCTCCCTCTGCCTCTGCCACCCCTAGAGCGTGCTCTCGCATGCTCAATTGTAACCCTGCAGAGAAAAAAAAAAATAAGGGGAAAGCATGCATCTTTAAACATTTTTTCATGATTATTGAGGGGAAAAAGCTACGGCAGGATTTGAGCAGTGTTGATAATAAGATGTAAATGGAAATCGATGCATGTTTTTCATGTTGGGGTACCAGGGGCGATGCGGCAGCTCACCTCTCGCTGCAAAGCTCCTTCCCATCCAGTTCATAGACAGCATCGTCCGCATCCCTGGGATCCTCGAACTCCTGCGAGCCCAGACAGAAGGCACAGCGTTACACACCGCAATGCCCGCAGCCCCGCGGCCCCCTCCCGCCAGGCGCACTCACCACGAAGCCGAAGCCCCTCTTGAGGTCGATGTCGCGGATGCGGCCGTACCCTTTGAAGAAGCGCTCCACGTCCTTCTCCCTGGCGGCGGGGTTCAGCCTCCCGATGAAGACGCGGCAGCCGCTCATGGCTGGGGGCGCGGAGCAACCTGCGGGGGGCCCGGTGGTCCCCTCAGCACCGTCCCCTCAGCGCCGTGCCGGTGACTCAGCACGCGCCCCCCCCCCCAGCCCGCCCCCTGCCGCAGTCCGCAGCAGCCCGGGCTCGCCCCCGCGGCGGCCCAATCGCAGCCCGCCAGCTGGAGCCCGCCCCGGCCCCCGCCAACCAGAACGCGCCGCTCCCCCCCTCGGTCCCGCCCACTTCCCGCCCGGCCCCGCCCCCCGAGGCGCAGGGGCAGCCGAGCCGCCGCCATCGCTGCCTCCGCCACAAAATGGCGGCGCGGGCCGCGCCCTGCGCGCAGCGCCCGCCGCGGAGGCTGCACGCGGGGCACCGGCACCGGCCCGCCGCGACCCCGTGCGCCGCCAACACCCCTTAGGCTAAGGGAACCGCTCGCTCCTCCGCCCCCCCCCCTGCACCACAAGGACATAGCCCCGGGCCGCCGATCCCGTCACCAACCTGGGCTGCGGGTCCCGGTGCGTTCCGGGCCGTGCCGTGCGGGGTAGGAGGGGCCGGTGCGGTGCTGGCGGGCGGCTCCTGCTCCCTGCGCGGCGCCTCGCTCCCGACTGCCGCCCGCCCCGCCCCGCCCCGCCAACCGGGGGCGGCCCCGCGCCGCGGCCCCGCCCCGCCCCGCGCGCCCATTGGTGGAGCCGGCCCTGGCCCCGCCCCTCCCCGCCCCTCCCCGCGGTGATGGCGGAGGGGAGGCGGTGCCCGGCCGCCATCTTGGGGAGTGAGGGGACTGAGGGGGGGCTGCTCTGCCACAGGGGTGGTCAACGTGTCTTGGTGGTGCTCACACCCCTCACGGGTCCTCACGCGTGTCTCTCCCAGCCAAACATAATTAATAAACTGTTAATTGCTGCTCAGCTGCAGTATTCAGCCAGCCCCAGAGCCGCCTTATGTTTACACACATCTGCACCCCATCGCTCAGCCCTCAGCGGGGACGAGCCTGGCGTCATGGCCGGGGCTGTGCCTCAGTGACACGCACCCGAGCCACAAACCCCCACACCTCCTCCTCGCCATGGCATGGTCTGCCGCTGCATCAGGCAATCAGGCGGACCCACCCGGCATCAGATCGCAGCCCATCAGAGCTGTAATCCTGAACAGGCATCACATGCCATCGTATTTATACACATCATCTAATACATGCAATCAGGTTTAGGTTAGCTTCGTGTTTTCATGGTGAATTTATGCCAGCTGCAGAAGGACAGGGTGACCAACCCCTGGTCCAATACGAAGCTTGCAGGAACAAAGAAAAACCCCAAAAATTCTTGGGTTAACGTTTGAATGATCAGAACAAGTTTACACCAGACCAGTGTGTTTAGTTTTACACGCTGAATGTGATACTGAGGAAATGCCACAACCCTTTGAGAGCAAGATGCAGGCCACTACAAAAGCATCCTACTGTGTCAAAGCTATCTGTAAACCTTCAGGGGGTAACAGGAGAGCTGCTGCAGGATTGTGTCCTTCCTCGGCTAGCCCACAGACCTTTCCTGAAAGCCACCCGAGCCCCTAAGCCAACATTTGATGTACCCCAAAATGCAACCACTGCACCCATGACCACAGTCTGCCATTAACTTTCCAAGCTCAAATCACAACACATCTTTGTTTTGACAAACCGTCTTTTTTGTTGTTTACACAGACTCGGTGACTAACATTAGCAAAAGTTTTTGTGCTCAGCAGACAGCAGATTGCAAAGACTGAGCATGTCATGTCACCCCCACCTCTTGCTTAATTGAGACCCAGCATTCGTTTTAAAAGGGATTTGGAGAACATAGGTCATAATAGGGGAATAGCAGGATGGAGGAAATTCACATTACCCAAGTAGCCAGCGCCTGTAATCCTTAAGAAACTCATTGAAGTAGTTAATGAAGCATCACTGAGACATCTGTAGCACCATCCCAAACACCGCACTCCCCGGAGGTGCAGTGATGTTTCGATTGGCAAGCTTACCTTCAAAGGTCAGAGAGGCAATGGAACAGAAGATTAAATAATCAATGTATAAGTACTTTCATTCATTAAACTGCTAAGCTGCTCATGACAACAAGGCTGGCAATCAACAAGCTGTTTCAAATTAAACCAATACTCCTTCCCAGAATAACTAAGCTACTGGGCAAGGGGGAAAAATAGAGAAGTGTTAAACGTGACTGTAGTAAAGATTTCAGTGCTGTGCCACACATGGTATTTTCTTAAGCAAACAGGAAAATGGCAGGATAAAATTAATTGTAAGCTGGAAGCATACCTCTTTCAGTGTTTGCATTCAAAGTATCTCCTTGACAAACACAGGGACAATTCCTTTGCGGAATCAGGGATCTCCTCTCAGCACAGGACTGTTCAACAGCTGCATTAATAATTTGCTAAGCAGATTAGAGCATGCAGTGTTAAAACATGCAGGTGAAACACCCTGGGAAGATTTTCAAACACTCTGAAGACAAGAAGAGAATTCAAAATGAGCCTGACGAACCAAAGCAATGATTCAACAAGATGAAAATCTGCAAGGACAAGGGCAGAAATGTTTACGTTTAGGAAGAACAATCCAGTATGAAATCAGAAATAAACGTTTAGGAAATAGTGATATGTATAAAGGCTTCAGTTAAAGAGGATCCCAATCTAAAAATAACACAATAAATATACTGGCATTGCAGAAACAGGCATAACCTATTCTGGGATGTGCTTACAGCAGGTGTGGTATTTAACAGACAAGTGCTGATCTGTCTGGTGATAGCACGGTAAGTAAGCTTAAACAATAACCTCAATTTCTGTATGGCAAAGTACTACTCAAACACACAGATGACTGCTATGCAGTTCATGAGGAACAACTGATTGAAAAAAAAAAATCACTCAAAGTCATGGATTTTGTAGTAGACTCAAGGTATAGCAAAGCTGTGGCATCGATTGCTTTGAGATAGTTTTCTGAAACTGAAGTGAAACCCTTGCAGAATGCTGGAGTGTTATCAATGCAGTAAGTGGCTTCGCATGTTTATATTAACCATGGTGCTTTTCTCCTACCTTGGACATGCTCATCCACTTAGGGGAGGGCGGTACGTGTCCCATCACTTGTGGTTCCAGTCCTTATTTTTCAGGCAACTGTTGAGCTAAGCAAACACAACATTAAAACAATACACCATAGTGTATTAGTGTTGCACAACACACCATAGCACATAGTGTTGCATAATGCAGGCAAACTCTTTAAGCTGTCATCACAACAGACTTTTTAACCTAGCTGTCATCTTGCACAGGTAAAACAGAGTAGAAAGGACAAACTTTATATATATATGTATATACACACACGTAGCATCCTGGCTCCTCTAGTCTTCTGATAAACCATGCTGGAGAACAAGCTGCAATTTCATCTACTGTTCAATCATTCAAGAGTTAGGCCAAGCATACACAGATTTCTTGTGACACTATAGTTATTTTGAAAAGGTCCGTTTAAGTATTATAAGTCTTTGAAAGTCTTCACGCCAGTATAGAAGTCTTTTTCTTCATGTTCCCTCAAGATACAGAAAAATACGGTCTGTCTCTGATATGTTTTGATGCTACAGTCTGTTCAGTGGCAGACTTGGTTCAGGAGGGTTTTACTCCCAGCTTCTACTTGCTGTTTGCCCTCCTCTTTTACTGATTCAACTTCAGGGTGACAGTAATACTAATTATTTTGGATTTTGCACCCAAAGTATCACTCCTCCCCTTGACACAGCTCTGCTGGCAGAGGAGCAGTGGCTAGATCCATATCTTACTGCATCCAGACTGGAAAATTCACCTCTGAAATGCCGCGGGGGGACAAAGCTCTTCTTGCCAGGCACCGTGCAATTGAGCTTTAAACTCCCCACGATCCGTGTGACTGGTATAAAAGCACAGAGCCGGTCTAACTGGGGGGGACACTGGGATTCACCCCCCTAGCCCATGGAAGTAGCCTCCAAAGCCCTGAAGAAACCAATAACTCGTATGTTGAACATCTCCCTTGCAGCCACAAACACTTGTTTAGACAAACAAGGGTTGTTGAAATGGAAGCTGACGTTCAGCAGGCTTGGCTCCTATCACCCTCAGGCATGGGCAAGTCCTGCCAGAAGCGCCCCACCAGCACTGTGGCTGTCTGGGGGCAGCTTCTCCTTGCAGGGCTGAGAGCAGCAGGGCTTGGAAAAACCATGTACAGCCAGGCGGCATGGCCTGGGGGAAGCTGCAGGGGACAAGGCAGGAGTGCTGGTGTCCTGTTCCTGACAGTAAATTATTACCTGTATGCATTATCTGGTCTCTTTCCGCAGTTCTTCCTCCAAAACACTGACTTGCTTGCTGCAGGCGTTGGTGTCACCTCCCATAAAGAAATGTCCGGGAACCAGCTCCCCTCTCAAGCTCAGCATTCAGATCAGCGATGCTGATCTCCAGCACAGAGCTGAGGATGCTCTCGTTGGTAAAAATTAACTTTCTGCAGATACATTTTGATCTTTGCTTACAAACGTGATGGCCAGAAAGCCTCTGTTTAGATTGCATTTTCTTTAGGATGATGAAATGGTTTGGGGAATAGACACAATTCCTGCTTGTTCTTCACCCCAGGCTGCTTGCAGGCACAAGTCTCAGCTCCTGCTCTAGATCGAAGCCTTCAGCTGTGACAGCGTCCTGGCCCCGTGTCTGCCAGCAACAGCAGAGGCAGGAAGGAGGCCACGGGGCCGGCCAGGCCCCTCCATCGCTCCCCAGCACCTCCTGCCCTCCCCAGAGCACAGCCCTTCCCTGCCTGCTGCAGGAGGAATTGAGAGACTGGGCTGCCTCTGCCCCCTGGGAAATCAGTCTGGTTTAACAAATGACATCAGGAGGGAGGGTTTGTCTGCCTCACCTACGTTTGCCTTCCGAAATTCCTGTTGTTACTCCCAGCTGCAAGACGCTGAACCAGGCTGAGCGCTGCCTTCTCCCCGGGGACTGCTCCCTGCAGATGGCAATATCGCCCTTCCTCTGCGGAGCTGTACACGCTCAGTCCTTTTCATTCCAAGTCCTTCCAGCCTCCCTCCCTTTCATTGCTCTCATGCTCGGCATTTGGCTGGGATGGAAACGTGCACACAGGGTACCCAGAGAACACACTGCTGGGCACTGCTGACAGCTGGGATGGGTTTCCCTTTGGTCTTTTTCCGTGTTTCAGGACTTGTTTCCTTTTTTTACTCTCTATTTAAGAAAAAAAAAAAAAGTTTTGAATATTTTACCCGATTGTTTTCATGTTCAAGACGAAGAGGGTGGCTTTGTGGTTAAACCCTGCACCCCTGCCTGTGAAGATAGAAGTACTCATGGCTGTGCAATGGGTGAGTGCTCCATGATGCAGGCTTCGTGCCCTGGTAGGTAGGTACACAAGGTCCTGGCAAGATCTACCTGGTGTGAGTACAAAGCACCAGCAACAAGGCAACATCATGCTGAAAAAGGGGATAAAGGCCCTCACCAAATGGTTAAACTGGAAGTTTCTAACAAAAATCAACGGCTCAATGACATACTGGCCCACAGCTGTTTTATTTAAAGTTTCATTGATCTTACTCTGTTGGGAACTTATAATGAATACCAGATCCCACATCCCTAATATTTTCTATGGAGTCAGGCAGAGGGAAAACACTTAAAACAAGGCAAGCTTTCTTTACGAAGCAGGGGAGGGAGGGAATCCCCCTCAAGCATTAATATCCCCCTGTTCCCTCACCAGACTAGAAAGGAGACACATAAAAGTTTTAAATAACTTTCTAGCTTATGGAGCCCAATAAAAGAAGAAACATATTTTGGGCTCTGGACATAAAATCATACTTTGTGTTCCTGAAAAATGCAGAGGAGACTGCAACAGTTGCCCAGAAGGGCCTCGTGTCTGGAAAATTTGTTTCCTCCCCTGTAAGAAAACGACTCAGTGCTGCTCGGGGAAGCAGCAGAGGGAAGCAGCTAGCTCTGCACTGCAGGGAGCAGACGATCACCCCAACCAGCTGCAGAGGGTTGCTTTCCCAGTGGGTCGTTTCTCAGTGGAAACATCCCACAGATAAATTCAGCATTACTGGAGAAAACAGGTTTTTACCAGCAAAAAACAAAGAAAAACACACACACACACACACACACACCAACAAAAACATGTTTCACTATCAAGAAGTTCCTGCACCCGCCCAGGTATGTTCTAGGATGGGCTGGTGGCCATCCTCTGCAGATGCAAATACCAGGTGAAGGCCCGAGGAAAGACACTACCTCCAGCTCATTTCCTCAGGATGGTCCAAGCGTTGCTATCTTGAGAGTCTGTCCTGGGCTGGTGGCCTCGCCATTATCTTCACAGCTCCTTTTCAACTCACCTGGTACTGCTGGGACCATCGCAGCCATCCTGGAGTGATACCACAGGACTGTTTCAACAAGAAAGTCCAGTTTCTTGGGGAAGTGGTTGGCATTTCCTAAAGCGAGCACACTGCATCTTAAAACCAGTCGCCTTCCCCTACCCCGCCACAAGGCTGCTCTAGTATCTAACTCATGGGGGTGAACCTGATTTCTGGCCTCACATGCATCATCACGGCTAGTGTAGACCTAGCTCTCTTTATGGCAGCACTCCAATTGCTACAGTAGATTTACTGTGATTTATATTTTTTTTCAGAGCATTTTGATCCCAAATACAAATAACATTTTCTTTATTCCCTCCCCAGATACATTCTTTGGTTAGAGGCGCATTAATCATTTTAACTCCTACTAAACTCAGCGCTTAGTTGCCAGAGGACGCACATTAAGTTTGCGAAAGCACAGGAACAGACATCCATCCCTGGAAACCCGTACTGGGCCTGGGGGTGCCATCCCCTGTGCTACACCACTACTTGGTAGCGAGACGAAGAGTCACAAGGCCACATCAAAGTGGCTGCTGATGCCACCACCTCCTCATTGCCACCCCCAACTCATGGGGACTCGGACCATGCCAACAACTGATGAACCACCCCAAAGAGCAACCCGCCGGTCCCTACAGCACCAGCAAGCAGGAGAAGCTAATCCCAGCACCTCATGTGCCTGTGCCCAGCTCCCTCTTTTGTTCCCTTTGGTTGTTTTTTTACCACCTTGTTCTAGATTTCCTAATTTCGCTGCCAAAATGCAGCGAAGAAGGAAGCCAAGCCTCCTGCAGCACTGCAGAGCCCCCACTGATTTGCCTTGGGGCAGGAGCAGAAGGGCGATTCCCCAGGGTTCACCTCAAACTCGTTAGCCACAATGCAGAATAACAAGAGTGTGATTACGCAGCATGTGTTGCCTTCATTATCGTGCTTCCATGAGGAGGAAGATCAATACCTTCAAATTACCATGGAGGTCATTGCCTTTGGGTGTAGCCTGGTGGCAGCAGCTGGACCTCTACCCTACCTGCAGGGGAGCTGTGGCCCCCCAGGTGAAGCAGAGCCCAGAAGAAGGCACTGAAGCTGTCACCAAGCGCTCATTTCCCATCTGTGCAGCCTTCCTGTACCACCTGGAGCATCTCGTGCCCTGTTGTTCCCCCATGATGGGCACGGTGTGGGCCTGCTCACCCACAGAGATGCCAGGAGGAAAAATTCAGTCATTTGTGAGGCCCTTGAAGAAGCACCAGAGGACAACAGAAATACCAAACAGCTTCAGTAACAAATCAGCTCCTTTAAAGCCTCCTGGGGTTAGCAGCTCTTTGGAGCCGGGCTACGCTCAGGAGTGGAGATGCAGATGGTGGGATGGTAAAAAACTCTGTTGGCAGGCCTGAACCCAGGGGCGCAACTCTGCTGGAAGCAGCTGGTACAGGGACATTTTTGCCACCCTGCTCAGGCAGCTTGTGGGGACAGAGGAATTCTCTGGTCTGGAGTACCAGGGACTCGCTGTTCCCAAACCCATCCTCTGCTCTCCTAAATCTGACTGCTTGGGTTTTAAAATGGACATTATACCCCTCCGAAATACGGGCAGCAAGCTGGGCCTCCTTAAGGGAGGGTGGAGGAGGCAGAGCAGAAGCAAAGCCAGCTGCCTGCCAGCTGCGACTGCAAGGCAGGGGGGTTGACACACGGCCTGCAGGCATCTTCCAGCTTTCAGAGGGGGAAACCTGCATTTTGTGGCAGCCCTAACAGCGGGCCAGCAGCTGGGAGAGCCGGGAGCGCAGGGGAGGTTTCCAGCAGCAGCAAGGCTGCGATCTGCCGTGGGACAGTGTGATAGCACAGCCCCACCACAAAGCTTCCCCACAGCGGCGGTGCGGCTCGCGGCAGGCAGAGCGCTTCCAGATGCGCTCGGTCCTGGTGAAGAGCTGAAGCCCGTGGTGTAGCAGGGCTGCTAAGATAAGAGCTGCAAAACAACCCCAAGGCCCCGTTCTGGCTGCCAGCACTGCTGCAGCAGCAGACCACAGCCCAGCAGCGATTCAGCCAGCCAGACCATCTCTCCGGTGTCTCTGCTGTCCTGCTACCTGCCCTCCTTGGATTAGTATTTTGCAGTGAGAGCTCTCCTCTAAACATAACATCCTCCCTATATCTACTCATTCCATTACCTACTCTCCAAGATTAATTAGCCACTTAATTCAACCCTTCCTTCTCTCTGAAGTCCTCCTGTGTCTTACATCAGCTCTTTCTCCCCTTCCCCTCCCTTAGGGGCCTGGCCAGCCTTCCCTGGCTTACTGCTCCCAAGGGCCCATGGATGGATGGAGGCACGGCCGTGACCGTCGGCTGTTTGTACGGAGCCATCAGCCCAGGCTCCAGGTCTGGCACGCCAGGGGCCGCAAGAAATCCCCGCAGCAGTCGCTTCAAGCACTCCCCAAACGCCTCTTCCCTCCTGACATCAAATTCACACCTGTCCTTACTCCCCGCAGGAGGCCTCCCCATAACTTTCATCCAGCCCACGTCTCACGGTGTTCAGCCCTCACATCTGTGCTCTTGCCTTTCCTCCCTGCCCAGGGACCTATGGTGTGGGTGCTTCTGCCAGGGCAGAGCCAAGCCATGGTGCTGTGTCCTCTCCACTGCTGACCGAGTGCTGCTACATCTCCAGTCTGTGAGGCCCAAGCAGTTCAAAAAACACACACAGATTACAGCTTCACTTCAAAAGAACTTTTTTTTTTTTTAATTTAGAAATGCAGTTATATACATAGAACAATTAAATTAAACTTTGTACAAATATTAAAATACTATCTTCACACCCACTGCAATGTACAGGATACCAGAAAATATATATAAAATAAAGCAAAATAAAACTGATTGAGTGACATCCTGCACACCATCAATTATGGTTCTGATTTCAAATCCCACATACATATGGAGTACCATTCCGCAAATAATTCCATAGTGGTGCAATTCAGATAAAAAAAAAAAAAAAAAAAAACACATACAGGAAAGAAGAAAAGATTAATGCACCAAAGGCAATCAAGCTCCCCTTGCATTTGCATCAGCAACTACCAGCAGTCTACCCACTGCATCATAGGATGTCTGCCTCACAGACAACTTGGCTTTGTTTTCTGTCTGAATGAAGCAAAGTTGAGAACCAGAACTAAAACATCTTCCAGCACAGCTCAGTTGCCTCTGTCCTTGCTTACCCCAGGACAGAAGCAAAAGCACAGCCTACGGAAAGCAAATGCAAAAGCATCAGGAGAGCCCACTCTGGCGGGCATGTAGATCCGTACATAACCTGCAGCGGGTCGAGTTTGGAAGCAGTGCTGAACACAGGGCCCTGAAGTGTGGGAAATGTCGTGCTCTGTCCTGGTGTAGGAGGGGATGAAGGACTGGAAGAGGGCTTATTTCCTGTATAAAAATACGCATTAAAATGAAGCCAGCTCTAGGAAACCTCTCTGCACTTTCAAAGCATTTCATAGAGAATAAACGTTTTCTGCAAGCAAAGGTTTTCACAAAGAACAAGTTCAATACGTGGTTCCCTGGGAAGGACTGAAAGGCTGAGGCTGGGGTGAGGCAGATGTGGAAAATGGATGGGATTTATTGCATTTATATACAGAAACCAGAGAGTGAAATTGATTTAATTAGATAATCTGGAGAGAGTAAAAAGGCAGATTTTGTAAAAGAACTGCTACCAAAACAGTAAAACCAGGTTTTGCAAGGATGCTCTAAGAAGGTCAGCAAGGAGATTTCAGTGTGAGTCTAGTTGTACAATAATGTTTTTATACAGCAAGCCTGCTGGTACCTCCTACATCTAGAAAAAGCACAAGCTCCCTTAAAACCTGGTCATGAAGGCATTGGCTCTCGTTAGGCTGCAGCATCCCTCCTTGTAGTCACAGCTCCTCCTCACCCCCACCCCTTCTTGTATTCCCTTTTCTGTACTGCGAATTGCTTGACCAGCCCAGATTATTTCCAGTGGCTGAGCCTCTCACCCCTCACAGCTCCAGCCCTCAGTACTGCCCCACGGCACCCACCTCTGGGAGCAGCTTACAATGTTTCCCTCCCATGAGAGCTTATTCCTACCACAGCTGACTTCTGCGTGCTGAAAGGCCAAATAAAGGCTCCAGAAGCATTAAAAAAAGTCACTGTGCTGGTGCTGAAAGGCAAAAGGAAGCCTCAGGAGAGATGTGCTAGGGGTGAACAAGCAGCATGCGTGCAGAGGAAGCGTTCTGCACAGCCAGCTCCCTGGTGGTTACAAAAGGACAGGAATGCACTAAGCCCCTCTCCCTCCCAAATCCCTCCCAAATTCACCAAGTTTTGACTCAGCAACAACTCCACAGGCTTGCATGCTGCAGAATGTCTCTCCTCCTAGCATCTTTTTTTTTTTTTCCTTAAACTTTGCAAACTAATTAAAACCAGAGCACACAAAAACATCTCTCACCAGTGCTGCTGACCCAGTTCGAGGTGGCAGGAGGCTCTGGCACAACCCGAGCCAGCCCATCATCTGACCTGAGCTTCATCATGCATGTCCCCACAGGCTACTGTCAGCTTCACTTGCTGGTTCTCTTAGACCAGCCCAGTACTTGGGCTGAAAACACTACAGTTGGCTGAATTTTTATTTTTTTTTATCCAAAAAAAATAAACCAAAAGAGCAAGGAGGTTTCTCTATTGCACATCATACTTTGAATTTCTGAAATGCCCTTTTATTTATTTTTTTTTTTAATATTGGACTCCAAAAGTGAAAAAAAACTTTGCAAATAAGTGCTATTTTTATTCTTCCGATGTAAATCAGATCATTTCAATGTTCTTGAACTTCACAAGGCCCTGTACAAGTGACAGAAGATGAAATGATCACGTTGGGAGTGCTAAATAAGCAAAATGCCTCCCTTTGAATTCTTTTTGTCAGGCTTAGGTGGGAAAACAGGTAAGGGGGCTGTGGCCCCAGCAGAAAACAAACAAAAGAACAACAAAAAGCCAATCACCCAGCACCTCACACCTTGCAAGGCTAAATCCCCCCCACTCCCCATCCACCTGGAGGAGATCCAGGCTGCACCCACCCGTGACCCCTGCCCACAAGGCTCACCCTGCTCAGAGGCAAGGAACCTTCCTGGGGGGGCAGAGCTCAGAATGAGGGATCTCTGAGTCTAGGTCCCTGCTCCCACCATAAATAAGTAAAGGCAGGGCTGTGCAATTTGGTTCATCTTCCTAAGTCTCTGCCCTGAGGACTCCCCAGTCCTCCAGCCTCCGCAGAATAAAAGCAAACCCAAGCAGCAATCACTTGCTAATCAGTAAACAAAGTGAGTCTTCACTCCTCTTTGAGAAAAAGACATCAAGCAGACAACACAGTCCTAGCTTACTCCCCTAGCCATGCTACCTTATCTGATAAGGAAGCAAACTCGCAAGCTGGATGCAGTAACCCCAAAGCCCTTTCCATGCTCTGTCTTACGCTGGCAGGCAGCTGGGGCTCCCAGCACGGCAGGCAGCCCTGCCTGGGAGCTGCTCTTTCACCCTCTTACAAGCCAGCAGAAGCTGACTATTTATGCCTGATCACAAGACTGATGCTTGCGTGCTTCCCTCCACCTCCACATTTGTTTTTTTCCTCTTAGTGAGTTCTTTTCCCATAATTTCTTGGAGTGAAAGAAAATTAAAGCGCTCCCTCTTCTGTGCAGCTGCCTTCCCTTCCCCACCCAAACCCTTTTTTTTCTCCCCACCTGGCAGCTGCTTACTTTCCTACAGCAGGGAGCAGAGGCAGGACCACACAGTGCACGCCTCCTGCTAGCTGAACAGGCACTCGTCCAGGGCAAGGTCGGGCTTGGGATCAGCTTCCAGCTTCATTACGGGATTCTTTCACCAAGGTGGTACTGGGGTAAAGGACGGCTCCCTGCAGGCAGACAGCATGCACCTGACTTGTACACCCTGATTGCTCAGGGTCAGTTTCAGGAGGCAGGACCTTAAATACATAACAAGCAAGTCCTACTTGGAGCTGGTTAGGTAGCAGGAAAAAAAGTCCCATACTCTTTCCCTCAGCCTTGCATACTCGCTCAGTCTCTCCATATGCCCTGATAAAACCAGTGAATAAGACAATTTGCTCAAGCTCAGAACATTTTTAAGGTAGGAGTTAAAAACTAAATGGGAACATTCCCATGCTCGTTTTCTAAAATTCCAATAACAGACCTGTAAACATTTGCCCTCTACAGTGCTTGAACTCGAAACACGACAGCCCATTGTAGAACAACATGGGATTTTCATCACCCCAACTGAACAAAAAAATACCCAAACTGGATTTGCCAAATTCTTGTTAATGCAAGATAATGTGAGCAACAGGGAAGGGAGTTTAAAATGCTGCCTTTTTTAAATTATTAATATCCCTCTAAACAGGGATGGGGAAAATAGGAGTCTTCCATCCACATGCACGTGCCGTCCCAGCTGTCCTAGGATTAAACAGCTCCTCAGGAACAGGAGCAGCAGGTGCATGGCTGGACACCACGGCCAATCACCATTTCCTGGAACTGGAGCTGAGCCGCAGTGATTATTTATTTCTTTTAAAGGTGTTGTGTCACTGCTACCAAGTGCTCTGGCAACATATTTGTGGAGCAACAAGGATGAGGATAGGAAGGGTCAGAAAACAAAAGCAAAGCAGCAAAGGGAGTATCCCTGTTTACCTGTAAATTACCACACGATGTGTAAGGCCATGACATTTTGCTCCTTCAACTCAAATGAAAAATGTAGCAGCTTCTCACAGGGCACTCTCCTGGTTGCTTTGAGACAGCCATGACAAAGCACCTGCCTTTAAGAAGCCAGCTCTTCTTGCTGAAACCAATTCCATGCAACCCAGTTTCCAGACAACCCCTCTGAAGAACCCTACAGCTTCCATGCTTTTGTGACCGGATCACCCACCCCAGATGAACTTGGTGTCCTGCAGAAATGAAGTCCTGGTAACAGCCACCAGGGTATTCTGACAGAGAACTGTTGGGGGCAGAGGTATACGTATTTTTGTATTTTGTTTCCCCTGCTGCAAGAACTTAAAGCAGTCTTTAAAATTTACGTTCAGGATTCAGCTGTGGTGTCCCTGGGCACTACTGGCAGCAATGGGCGGCTGCGTTGTGTTCAGGAGACACTTTGTGGATGTGGCCGTGCCCCAACCACACAACAAAGAAGCCCTCCTGTGCAGGCCCGCTGAAGCCCATTAGGACAAAACAGCAGACTCTTGCTATGGAGCTAGGAAGACACATCAGCCTCGTAGGTGGCAGGTACCCAGGATGTGAGGAACAAAGTCCCTGGGGTGACTGGGAAGGTAATTTGGGATTGCACCAGTGGCACAAAGTGTTCACCACCTATGGGCATTTTTCTCTCGACAGCTGTGAACATGTGAACTGCCTCCAGCCCACATCTGAAAGCATCACCTCTGCCTGCAGGAATGACCAAAGGAACCTAAGCGTTAGTGCAGAACAACCTTAACGGGGAAAGCCAATTGGAAATGGGTTTGTTCAGAGCGGGGCCACAGATTTGGTTCCAGCCCTGATGCCTAAGTGAATGCAACCAACTCACAGAAAGCCCTTTCTGGACCCTGTGAACCACTGTCCTTTCTCCAAGGCTCTCCCAACAATCTTAACATCAGGAGCTACTCTGGCACAGGACCAAAGCCGAAAGGGCTGTTTCATCGACAGTACAGTCCCAGTCACGGCTTCCAGGAACACAGCATAACCAGCTGGGCTACACATGTAGAAGAGGCAGAAGTGATTTTCAGGAGCAGACTCTTGCAGAGCTGTTTGTTGGGAAGAGGGCAGAGGGCATTCCTACACGTTGGACTTCACAGCTTTCGGTGCTCTAGCAATTCCCAACTGTTATTGCACAGCTACGCTGCCTCATGGCCCATCTCATCCGAGACACTTCTAGGCATTACAGGCTGCCCCTTAACTGGAATCCCTCCCAAGCCCAGCGTCAGTCCCAGTGAGGCATGTTGTCCTGCCCTATTACAGAGAGAATGCTGGAAGAAGAGCATATAACATATATACCTATATATAAACTGTCTGCACCCAGGGAGCAAGCGGTTTTAGCCCCTCTCTGGGCAGCAGGAGGGCTAGAGAGGCTGATAAGCTGCAACAAGCCGGTGTGAGGAGGAGAAAGGCACAAGAAAAGAGCAGCTCTTCTCAGAGACTGCTGTCAAACATCTGGCTGGGAAAAAGGAGAGGAGAGCTCAAATCCGCTACGTTCCTTGAGCCCCTGATGCAGATGGAATGGGGAAGCCAGCGCTGCACCAGCCCCACTGGTGCATCCAGGAGGCAACCTGGTGACATCCTTTGGATCTTCAGCTGAGGGCGTCTCTGCTTGGAGGTATCCAGGGCACAGCTCGCGAGGATGGGGAAGGCTGCACAGAGTGCTTCTGTCCCAAAGGCAGGGGAAGGGAGGAGGAAGAAATCCAAGAGGGAGAAGGCTAGGCAAATACAGCAGGCCTCATGCTTCCTTCAACAAGGGAATATCTGAATGGCGGGGAGAGAAAAAAAAAGAAAATGTCAAACTTTTGTCATTCAACACACACCAAAATCTGCTGCTGATAGCGAGACAGGCCCCCATTTCCATTCTGTGATAAAGCAGTGTTCTTCCTGCCATCGTAGCACAGCAGAGGGCACCTCTGCTGGGCTCTGGTCCAACCTGCCTCTGCAAGCAGGACCATCACCGCCCCCAGCTTTGAAAGTCTCCGAGAAGGGACACTCCATCACCTCTCTGCCTGGCTGTCTAGCCCTGCATTACCCTCCTAGCAGGAAATATTTTCCTAATGCCCAATCTGAATCTGTCAAGTTACTCTTTGTGTTTCAGCAGATTACGCCCAGCTCCCTCTCAGGCCCCTGACTATCTTGGCAGGCCTCCAACAGAGCCTGTTCAGTTTCTCCACATTCCTCTGAAACCGGGAGTCCCACAAGCAGAAAAAGTATTCCCATAAAGCCCCGATATTGCGTAGGAGAGGGCAATAACTTCCCTTTCTTCGTTCCCATAACCTAACCAACCTCTTAGCTTCTCAGAACGCCTGAGACGAGAATTTTCTTGCTGTGTCAGGGATGGCTGGGGATCCATGGATCACCCCTGGCCTTACCTGACCTGGAGAAATGCAACCTCCAGTAGCTGCAGCTTCCTCATCTTTGAGCCGTAAGCACAAGTCTTACGGTCCCCTGCTATTTGGGGCTACCCGTACAACTTGCATCAGAGGCAATGTTTATTTCCAGGCAGTGATAAAAATGACACAGTGCAGAGGCAACACCCTCTAATTTCTACACGGTGGATTTTTTTTTTATGGTAAGTACCACTTTTGGGTTTCTACTGTTTGCTTACCAGAGGTTTAATGCCTATCTGAGGACACGTTGCCACTTCTGCCCTTCAGTGGAAATCCCCTTGAACTATTTTTACTGCAAGGCTTCTGGGTGGCACTAGTAAGGCCGGAGGGTGTGACAGCACAGAAAAAAGTGCTGCCCTGAGCTACCTACAAGCCAGTTACATTTTTTTTGCCTGAAGACACAGCAGTCTCTGCAGAAGCAATCTTAAACTGCATCTTCACATCATTGTAAAGCCACTCCTTTGGGGCAGAACAAAAGTCAAGAATGCAAGATACATGGGCCATTGAACAGAGCAGCACCTCTGCCCTGTACCAAGCACCCCCCTTTTACGTTTTCTCACAAGCCAGGGCTGCAGCACCACACACACTGTGGCAGTAAGCTGCTTACTAAGGTATCTAAAAATGAAGAAGCCTAAACATCACAAGGGGTTTGTATTTCAGGCATATCCTCCCACTTTCACCAGCTTGTTTTTCCACAAGTGCAGCTCTTTTACTGCCTTTGCACAGTATGCAGAGGCCTCCACCATGCTGGAGGCTGGCATTTCTCTGCAAAGCCTTTGCTGAGACAAGACTGAGCAGCAGAACACCAACAGTCTTTTCAGACTGCCCTAGGCTCCCCCTAAAGCCACATACTTCAGAAGAAGGTATTAGCTACTGCTTGCAGTTATGTTGCGAAACATGCCACAGAGACTGTTTCCAAAGCTCCTCTGGTGCCAGACATGTACATATGGGTATTTCTCCCTGTTTTCATGCTATGTGGTCACACTGCAGAACCTGATCTTAAAAAGGTCTCAGACAGTGCTCCTTGCCCGAGCCACATACCATCTGTGTATTCCTCAGAGGAAGTGAGTGATAGAAGGCTCTGTATGTCGCTGCTTTCTGAATCCTGGAGTTCTTTCTGTACAGGTCTACTGCTAGCCATGCCAGCTACCCAGGAAGAGGTAGCAGCCTGATGCACAAGAACAGTTTCAGAGCGCTGAGAGCCACTGGCTTCACACAGTCCAGACTGTCCGGGGGCCTCATCTTCTCTGTCAAGGCCGTTGCGAGCCCCTTGGTCCTGCTGCTGCATCTCTCTGGCTCCATTCTGCCCAGCTCCTTCGGACAGCACAATCTGCACCCGGGAGTCCGAGGGTGGAATGCAGTTCCCTGTGCTGCCATACACTGCTTCTTCGTAGGATGGCAAGGCCACTTGGACACCATCCACCATGATAGAGACCTGGTCCCCAGACACTCCTTGGTCTCGCCTCAAAAAATTAAAAAAAAGGGCAAAAGGGGAAAAAAAAACAAGTTGAGCATTTACATTTTATACGTATGTTACCAAGAATAGCCTCCCACCTCTGCCACAACAGAACTCTAAGCTCACCACTGACTTTTTTAGGGGAGATTGGACAAACACGAATGGTGTTTTACTGAGGTTAAGTAAGTTCTACTGTCAATTGCCATGAACACGATCAGGGACTGTAATTCACAGTGCCTGATGGATTTAATGGCAAGAGCTGAAGAGGTTACAATGCCTCCTGCCTCAACAGCTAAATCTGACAAAGATCTGACTCAGAGCCTCTGCTTGTAGGTAGAGAACTCTGACCGCAGTTGATTTCTGTTTGTTACACTGCTCTATTCTGAGCCACCGAGCACTGTCTGTTCTACCACCTATGCTGCTGGTGAGATAACTGCTGGCAAGGTTTTAAGAGCTGACAGCTCTTAAATTGTCACCGTGTGAATCAACCTTGGCTGACGGGTCAGAGTCCTGAGACTGAATTTGAACCTTCCTGCTGCTGGACAGCCATATCTCTTATTTAACAGCACTAGCAGTTCATTCAGGAGGAGTCCAACAGTGACTTTTTTTGAACTCAGCTGACAGCGATGTTACAGCAGGGTCCCTTCTCTCATGCACAAACCTAGGCCAGGAGAATTCTCCTTCCCCAGCAGGGAGCCATATGGGATTTGTGCATGTATCTAATCATCAATACTGACAGAATTCAGGACCAGACAATCTCAGAGACAGACTGGGGGAGAAGCACATATACCTGGACACTTACTTTGGCAGCTATCCAAGGCCAGAAGAGGCTGGAGACTGACCTATAGCCAGACCAGAGGGGTTCATAACTTTTAACATTCAAGGCCAAGGAAAAAGAGCAAGGAAACCAAGGAAACCATTTCTGCTGCAAAGAAGCAGGATGTCTCTGAGCCCGGCTACACTTACCTGCTGTGATGGAACGACTTCAGCTTCGGCTGCAGCAAAACAAACAGCACAACTAAGAGAAGAATCAGGGCGACAGAGCTTGCTGTGGAGGCTACTATGGATAGCGTGGGTACTCCGATTGTCGGCGGGGAGTCCTTTTCTACAAAGCCAAGAGGAATACAAGGTAAAGTGACCCACTCCCTTAAATCATCACCATAGGGAAGCAGTAACATTTGTGTTGCATTCTCTTAAGAGTTACACATGTAAGAGCCCAAGTTTCCTCTACAGTCAAGGCAGAATAGTTCTCTCCTACAGAGGACAATTCAGAGCTTAAGCAGACCCCTCTCCATCAGCTGTAAAGGGAACATTAAACATGCACAGCACAAGGGTCTTCTGGAAAACCGTAGGGCAAACACAGGGAAAAGCAATGCAGGGAGGCCATGGGGACAGAGAAGGGACGTTAAGGGTCATGTCATATTTACATCTGGCTGAGCAATAGCTAAAAAATGTCCTGATGTCACCAGCGATATAAGTAATTGTCTAGCACGATAAACAGGCTATTCCACTAGGCCAAACAATAGGAAAAGTTCCAGAAAATGGGTTTTCTTGGCTAACGGAACAGTCCCCTGAAAGAATGGGGTGGAAGTCACCTGGCCTGGCATTAAGATACAGTTTCTTTCTCACAAACACGTATCCCAGGGAACAGAGGAAAGGGACGTGTTGCTTCAGGATGCTGAGTTTTCAGTGTAAGATACACATCCCCTGTCCACATTACCTCTTCCTACCCCCTTTCAGCTGTGCCATATGACTGTACTAGAAACATTTTGTCTTTTAGAAGTCCATCGCAAGACATGAATAAGTTGGGAGCAGACAGGGAAGGGCCAGGAGCTCGTGTTGCTGAGTGTTCACATCATGGCTAGAACATGACACTAGCCCTTTCACCTCCCTGGAGCGCACAATTGCCTGTGGATGTGTCGTCTCTCTCCTTAACTTTTGTCTTTGGTACAGCTCTCTACATATTTCACCTCCCCATCAGCATATACTACTTTCACATTCAGGACATTCCCATCTATGCAATTCCTCAATTCCTTTTTGCTACATTCATCACATTCTCCAGGAGAACTGTTCTTAAACTGCAGTGGGATGCAGGACAAATCTGCAAGTAAAGATAAGGGTGAGAAAGAGCACAGAAACAAAAGAAAAAAAAGCTACAGGATCAATGTTTTTAAGCCTGCAGCCTGAAATCTGTACCCCAAATAGGCATGTAAACTGAAGAAAGTCTGCATTTTCTTCATCTTCTTTTGGGGGTTAAACTTATTGTTTTAGTTTTGAAAAATTTCTGGAAAACAGATTCAAAACTAGCTTGAACCATCCCCAGGAAAAAATGTCTAATGTACATTTTTCCCTCTGGTAAGTAGGGCTGAGTAAGGATTTCCATTTTCATGATTACTCAGGGCACTTTGAGTACACTGACAGGGAAGAGGGTAAGCAGATAGGGGTGCTCTATTTTCAGTATCAGTACACAATGCTGTAAAACCGCTCACCATGCAGGGTACAGTTCAGCACATCCACCATCTCAGTTTCCAGCAAGATGCTCACTAACTCATAAAAGAAACTGCTGAAAGGCTATGGGACTGATGTGCTCAGAGCTACACAAAACATTTGATAACTGCTTGGGATTTCATTTACTCCTTACAGAACAAGTGGGATGTTACCCATTACCACTCATCTAAAGACCTATCACTCTTCTCTCTACAGTTGCCCTCCTCCTCCTTTTTGCTCCGTGAAAGAGACCTGCTAGTTAAACCTCAGCTGACTCTGACCCCACACAGTTGTTGCAAAGACAGTGCTGCCAAAACAATAGCTTTTTCACTTGGCCAGGCTTTTGAAGCCCCATATTTTTATAAGGCCACCAACCCTACAGGATGCTAAAGAAATCTGAGGGACTGCTGCTCATCACAACACAACTCCTTTAGCCCTGACGTAAACCAAGTGCTGCTATGCAGGATTGCCATCCACGGAGCTCGTCCTGCAAAGCTTTCTTCTGCCGCCTGGGTGCAGCAAGGGGAAGGGGGACCACTACAGAAAGGAAGCCTATGCTGCATTCGAAAAGCCTCTTTGGGATCTAGATGCTGCCAGGTGAACTCCCAGTTCCCCTTCCTTGTTCGTCACAGGAAGGGGCTGTTGGAGTGGCTGTGACAGAGACACCAAGACGACAGCGTTTGGGACAGGACACATGTCCCAGAGTTCACAGATATGCAGTGAGCTCCACGAGGGGCTTGAAGATGATATTCTGTTTCCTTCTGATTAGGCTAACAAATTTTGCTTTTGGGATTACAAGACAAAATCCCAGAGCACACATCTTGCTGTCTCAGGATGACTGAGCTTTAGAACTCTACCAGCAGGCCAAAACTGAAGAGGGGAGGGCCTTCTCCTTTTATCCAGTACACATGCTTTTAAAAGCAGAAGAACAGCTGGCAACTAAGAGCTGTATGATGAACATTTTCCTGCAAATCTTTTCACTTTCCTGCTTTGATGAAGGAATTCCTGTTCAGCTGGGAGAAACCCACAAAACAAAAGCTGTGCACTTCCATATGGAGAGAAGCAGAAATCATTTGTCAGCGATGTCCTTTCCTGCCAGTGCAGTGCAAAGCAGCACCACGAAGCTCTGCCACAGGAGGCCAACAGCTAGTTACCCTGTTTGCAAAGGGTATCAGCTCTACATACTCTCACATATGCAGACAGGAGGGTATTGTCAAATCCATCAAGGACAAAGAGGGACAGCATGGAAAATGCTTCAATTTTAGGGCCTGCCCTGCTTCTGGGATGAGAGCTGCCAAAGAGACTCCACCTCAGTAACTCGTTGTCTCCTTTACACTCCTTCCCGTGGGATGTCTCCTTGCATGACTGACTCTGAGCCTGCCTCTGATGGGCTGTTACAGAAGGGGCATTTTTAACAAAGGGCTGTAATTGTGAGTTATGTTCATGGAATTGCTGAAGCAATGAGTGCAGCTGTACGGACTACCCCAGCACAACACCAACTATCTAGGGAGAATCTGAAGAGCCAGTATAAGAGCAACTCTGACCGTCCTGCTGGACTGAGCGAGTACTCACCCGGGCTGAGCCTGCAGCTGACTTCCATGGCGGGGTTCCACTCTCCATTCTTACAGGTCAGGTATTTGTAGTCTCCTTTCAGCATGTAGCCTTCAACACACAGGTACTCTATGACGCTGCCCGAAGTCAGGGGGTCATTGCAGGGACTAGGGTGGCATTTGTAGCCTCCATTCTCAGGCTGTGGTGGCTGGGGACAATCTGGAAAGAGAAAGCATCACAGAGGTTATCTCAGAGGAAGACATCTGCTACGCAACAGATGTGGCACACAGGCAAACTTCCACCTATGAAGACTCGCTATATTGAGAAGAAACTACCAAAACTAAGGTTTGTTACACAGCAACACAGAACACTGCTCGGTTTCACCTCCAACATGTCTTTTGTGATTGCTAAGTACTGCTTGTTATCCCGGTGGTGCAGTCTAGCTGGCAGGCATCAAACTGGTGATATTTTTGTACAGTGATGTATAAGTTTGTTACAACTGGGATTCTGAACGAGAGGCCCAGAAAATCCTTGATGCTATCTTTTCCCCACAGCTGTTTCACTAGTGACTGAGGGGAGAAGCCAACAGCCAGGCTTCCCAATTAGCCTTCCAAGTCTGACAAAAAGGGCGAGACCTCCTCCTACTGAAATGAATGCAGGATGCAAGCACTCCATTGTGCTATGGATACAATGTCAAGATACAGAGCTGCCCCAAAATGTACCCTACAAACTCACAAGATCCCTGATTTTAGCTGTTTTATAAAGATATACCACGATGCTATGAGAACAGAGCTTTGCTGCAGTAGGACGACATATTCTAGCCTATTAAAAAAACCACACACTAACTAACAAACAAAGATATTTCTAAAATAACCCTCTGCTTACCTACAGGAAGGCTGAAGTACTGAAAGCATTTTACATTTCTTCTTGCATCTCCCCGATGGGTACTGACATAGTAAGTGTGAGAAAATTTCTCACAGAATTTTCAGTTGCCATTCAAATAAAAACAACAAACCACAAATGAGGAAACTGCACTGAAAACAGGATATTTGCATTGCTTAGGATTTCATCTCCTCTGGAAGCTCCTGGTGACTCTGCAGGACTGCTCCAATACACTCCCATGCTATGTATTTACCTAATTGAAGGAGTGAGAATTCCAGTTTTTTTCCCCCTTTAAATTCAGATCTCAAGCTTCACAGAAGAAAATACATCACAGATCCCTCCAGAGATATTTTGGGGTATGGAAAACCAAACAACCCACCCTCCCAGTTCTACCACAGCATGGTTATCCAGGCCTGCCTTAATCCCCGGAGCACACACTCGCAGGCTCTGCCTGCAGGTGAGAAACCCAACTGGGCAAACTTCAGTTAACTGGATTTGGTGCAGGACCTAAGAAGAGTAAGAAAACTTGAGACTTGCTCACTATGGAAAAATTTGCTCTCCTGTCACAGTGCGAGTGACCCTTGAACCTAATCACATGTGTGAATGCATCATTGGCAGCGCCTTGTAAATGCCAGCAAACCCTAGGATGAAGGGCTGAGTGAAGCCAGTAAGCCTCTGGCATGAGTTCTGCCAGCTTTGTAACTGCAATTCAATTTACTTCTTGAGAGAAAAGGTTAACAGGGGTCTAAGCAGTAGCCTTTCAATAAGACTTTGTTCTTGTGGAGATTTATCCTTAAATAAGGTTCAGAGGAGCCACTGTCCTGTCCCTCACGAGTGTTAACTGTTGCCTCTTCTGCATTTATTTTTTCTTTCTGCAATCATTTCCAATTTTGTAACCCAGGTTTTAACACTTTACCTTATGAGGCTAAAACTTACAGCCTGTCCAACACTTAGATCAGCTGCAGCCACAGCCTCATTACACATTTTGGCATGCAGAAACGCCCTGCTGCTTCTGCAAGACAGAGATGTTCCCTGCTAAATGGCAGGGACCTGTCTGAGCACCCAAAATACCCTCAGCCATTTAACAAGCACCTCCCCGGGCAATGGCAGGGAGCTTTGGGAAACCCTCCTGTTACCACAGCAGCCAGGGACAGCTTCCCTGGGCACCTTTAGGCCACAGGAGGCATCTGGAACCGCTCAGGAGCCAGCCCAGCCTCCCACACGCTGCCTTGCTCCAGCAGGAATTTTCCCACACTTGCACACGAGCTTCCCGTTTCCGGAGGAGCCCAAGCAGGCTGGCCCCAATGCTGCTTTTAAGGCCTTTGTTAGTCAGGGGAAGAGATACGGAGACGTGGCTAACAGGGCTTTTCTGCAGCAGACGCAGCCCTTTGGGCGCCACAGAGTCACGCTGGGAACAACGTGCTGCACAAGGCCCCTACACCAGAGCTGTAGCTGATTCCAGCAGCTGATTCCTGACTTGTCCTCCTATTAAAAGAAGAGCTTGCAGAATTAGTCACCTCCTTTTCCTCCCTCTTCTCCCTTAGGTTGACACCACAGCACCCGAGAACATCACAAATAGTTAACACCTCCCCTGTGACAGAAGAACAGGCCTACCCTGGCTCTGCTCTGCAGCTGGAGGGTGCAGGCAGACGGGCAGAGGAGCAGTTCAGAGCACGGCTGTGCTGTGAGGGCTCAGCACAGGGCTGGGGAGCAGGCAGCCTGGTCCAGCTCTCCTGCCAGCTCACGCTTCCCAAGCAGGCTGCTTGCTTTTAACCTTCAGTGATGTTTGCATGCTGCTGTGTGGCCCAGCCCCAGGCTAGCGTTACTGTTTGGGCATTACTTTGGCACACTGTCCGACACTTTCTGAGGCACATGAGCTAAACAATGGAGAGGATTTTTCAGCCCAATTAAGGCTGGGCAGATTTCAAAGGACACAGCAAAGCCAGGGCAGACAGATTTACTCCTTGCAAGTGTTCAAAGGTGGGTGGCACATGGTGGATACATTGAAGCTTCCCAAAAGGTTATAAAGGTTCCTCTTAAGGATTTTTTGACATTTTGTTAAGAACAGGTATTGTAACCACATACACCACCTTCTCAACAGCATCAGCCTAGATTCTCAAAGGTATACGCTTGTATTTGAAATACTAAGAAACATGCAGGAGTTTCATCGCCTTCCTCCCTGAAACACATGTTCTTGGAAGTACCCCAGAGCTTATGAGACATCTTAAAGCAAACATACATGCCAGGCAGCGAAGAGAAATACAGCCAAGTTACATAAATTATCGATTTCCTAGGGGGTTACTGACATCCTAGGCTTGCAGTTATTCCCAGCTTCCTGATCCATCATGCTCTGAGGATGCAGAGAAACTGTGGTTTTGAACTTCGCAGCCTTGTGCGCAAAGAGGGCAGAGCGCTACTCCCCGCGGCCCAGTTTCCAAGAGGTGCTGAAGTTTATGACATCTCCCGAGAGAGCTGGTTCCCTGCCAGCACAGGCTGCTGGAAAACAGGAAGGAGGTAACTGATGAGAAGACTAAACATTTGGGGCATCGGCGAACTCTGTTCAGAGGTAAAGAAACTGTCATTTCCAGGCTGACTGGCAGAATAAAATTATGCTCCGGAGTTTCTACAACTGCAGTTCCAAAATAGTTGGTGTTTAATATATTGTCCACCAAAACGCAAGACAAGATCTTTAATAGAAAAGTGAAAAAATATTAAGTCAGTATGCACCTCCACCCATTTTCCTACCAAATCATCTGTGAGCACCATTTCTCTGTGCCTAGGTCACTCAAAAGAATACCACCCTCCTTGAAAGGAGGGATAAATGCTTTTATGTTCTGTGAGTAACAGTTAGAAACTTGACAATATGCAGCACAAAACTGCAAGGAACTGTGTTTTTTTTTTGTTGTAGCCACAGGCAGTGTCACCGCACCAGCACCCTCCGAGGCAGAGCTACAGACCATTTCTAACAATGTCAAAGCTACTCAAAACCAAACCACAGTCACAGACAATACCACAGATGCAAGAAAATAACTTTGTTTGACAAGACTGAGGGGTTTACATACTCAAAACACAGAGGATGCACCTGATCTCTGAGAGTGAGATTCAGAGATGAGCTGACTTCCCAAGCCCACACACAATCAGATTGATGTGGCAAGGAACAAGTACAGTACTATCCATTTACACACACAATGTAAAATTAAGATATACTTAAATCTGACCAGATAATTACTACAGATATATAAAAGCTGAGTACTAACCAGCTTTGTGTAGACTTAGCACTGTCCCGGGGTAACAAAGGCAGATACCTCACTACAATCTTGGTTTTTTTTTGGCACTCTGTTTCTTTTTTACCGAGTCTCTCAGATCCTAGCAGGGGTCTTACATATCTCTTTCTGCACCAAACACTTGAATTGTATTTCAGCCACTCACATTTTTTGCTGAGTAGTCTGACCCAATAGAGATGAAAACCCAATCCTCCTTAATTTAATACATTCTTAAAAGAAAAAAAAAAAAAGAACAAGACATACTCATAATCACCTGCTTGAGCGCATAACTGTAGGTTTGTAACCACGGCAGAAAAAGCCGTTGCATTGTTCACCTTACGTGGGTGGACAGATTGGGAAAACATTGTGTAACAAAGGGATGTTTTGCACTGAATGTACAGTAAGTTTCCTATACTCCTCCACAGCAAGGCACAAAGGTCACTAAAGCTAGGACAGGAGTAGTTTTGACAAGTTAAAGCTGCTGGTATTTGAGTCAAGCCCGAACCTCAGCAATTGGAAGAGGAAGCAAGACTAGGCCTCAGGTAAACTCCTCACTGACCACAGGAGTGCTCCAGCACGTTTGACAGTCCTCAGAGCAGCGTCCTAGGAAGCTCACAAGTGCCTGCTAAAGCTTATTGGAAGCAATCTGGGGGAAAACCAGGCCAATTCTGTAATAATCTCCAACAGGAAGCTAGTAGTGCTCTTAACAGAGGTGGCTGTCAGATCGCTGCCGAGCCTTTGGGTCCTTACATTTCAGTTACCCACCACCTTGACAATAACCAACCTGAAGCCCTGCTGCTCAGGCTGCCAGGGCTACAAGACAACTCCTCAGCTGGATCCCCTCCGCATGTGCCCTGTTTGGATATGTTAACATCCCCAGGCCTTTCAAATGAAGACCAGAACTGGAAAATGCTAACCTCTGTTCTTCCCTTTCCTCATCTTCAAGATTTACTCCACTTAACTAATGTTATCGAGACTCAGAGGAAAAACATAATAGAACCATTAAAGTTGGAAAAGACCTCTAAGATCATCTAGTCCAACCTTTAACCTAGTACTAGTGCCCACCACTAAACC